TTTTTGTTGTGTTCTGCCAGCTTTGTATCACAGGATGATGTTGGCCTCATAAATGAGTTAGGAGGATTCTCTTTTCTATTGATTGGAATAGTTTCAGAAGGAATGGTACCAACTCTCCTTGTAATTCCTCTGGTAGGTTCAGCTGTGAATCCATCTGGTCCTGGACCTTTTTGGTTGGTAGGCTATTAATTATTGCCTCAATTCCAGAGCCTGCTATTGGTCTATTCAGGGATTCAACTTCTTCCTGGTTTAGTCTTGGAAGAGTGTAAGTGTCCAGGAAATTATTCATTTCTTCTAGATTTTCCAGTTTATTTGCATAGAGGTGTTTATAGTATTCTCTGATGGTAGTTTGTATTTCTGTGGGGTTATGGTGATATCCCCTTATCATTTTTGACCAAGCGCTGATTTGATTCTTCTCTCTTTCTTCTTTATTAGTCTTGCTAGCGGTCTGTCAATTTTGTTGATCTTTTCAAAACCAACTCCTGGATTCATTGATTTTTTGGAGAGTTTTTGTGTCTCTATCTCCTTCAGTTCTGCTCTGATCTTAGTTATTTCTTGCCTCTGCTAGCTTTCGAATGTGTTTGCTCTTGCTTCTCTAGTTCTTTTAATGCGATGTTAGAGTGTCAATTTTAGATCTTTCCTGCTTTCTCTTGTGGGCATTTAGTGCTATAAATTTCCTCTACACACTGCTTTAAATGTGTCCCAGAGATTCTGGCTGTATCTTGTCTTCATTGGCTTCCAAAGAACATCTTTATTTGTGCTTCATTTCAAGTATGTACCCAGTAGTCATTCAGAGCAGGTTGTTCAGTTTCCATGTAGTTGAGCGGTTTTGATTGAGTTTCTAGTCCTGAGTTCTAGTTTGATTGCACTGTGGTCTGAGAGTCATTTGTTATGTAATTTCTGTTCTTGTACATTTGTTGAGGAGTGCTTTACTTCCAATTATGTGGTCAATTTTGGAGTAAGTATTTGTGTAAGTTGAGAAGAATGTATATTCTGTTGATTTGGGGTGAGAGTTCTATAGATGTCTATTGGTGGGTCATTGCTGCAGAGATGAGTCACAATTCCTGGATATCCTTCTGTTAACTTTCTTCCTGGCCTGCCGATCTGTCTTAATGTTGAAAGCAGTGGAGGTTGTGTTCCATTATTATTGTATGGGAGTCTAATTGTCTTTGTAAGTCTCTAAGGACTTGCGTGATGGAATCTGGGTGCTCCTGTATTGGGTGCATATATATTTAGGATAGTTAGCTCTTCCTGTTTAATTGATCCCTTTACCATTATGTAATGGCCTTCTTTGTCTCTTTGATCTTTGATGGTTTAAAGTCTGTTTTATCAGAGACTAGTATTGCAACCCCCGCTTTTTTTTGTTCTCCATTTGTTTGGTAAATCTTCCTCCATCCCTTTATTTTGAGCCTATGTATGTCTCTGCAAGATGGCCTTCTCCCTGAATACAGCAGACTGATGGGTCTTGACTTTATCCAGTTTGCCAGTCTGTGTCTTTTAATTGGAGCATTTGGCCCATTTACATTTAAGGTTATGATTGTTATGTGTGAACTTGATCCTGCCATTATGATATTAACTGGTTATTTTGCTCGTTAGTTGATGCAGCTTCTTCCTAGCCTTGATGGTCTTTACATTTTGCATGTTTTGTAATGGCTGTACCGTTGTTCCTTTCCATGTTTAGTGCTTCCTTCAGGGTCTCTTGTAAGGCAGGCCTAGTGGTGACAAAATCTCTAAGCATTTGCTTATCTGTAAAGGATTTTATTTCTCCTTCACTTATGAAACTTAGTTTGGCTGGAGTATAAAATTCTGGGTTTAAAAATGCTTTTTTAAGAATGTTGGAATATTGGCCCCCACTCTCTTCTGGCTTGTAGAGTTTCTGCAGAGAGATCTGCTGTTAGTCTGATGGGCTTCCTTTGTAACCCGACTTTTCTCTCTGGCTGCCCTTAAGATTTTTTTCCTTCATTTCAACTTTGGTGAATCTGGTAATTATGTGTCTTGGAGTTGCTCTTCTCAAGGAGTATCTTTGTAATAATTCTCTGTATTTCCCTGGATCTGAATGTTGGCCTGCCCTACTAGGTTGGGGAAGTTCTCCTGATGATATCCTAAGAGGTTTTTTCCAACTTGTCTCCATTTTCCTCACTTTCAGGCACCCCAATCAGACGTAGATTTGGTCTTTTACATAATCCCATACTTCTTGCAGGCTTTGTTCATTTCTTTTTCTTCTTTTTTCTTTGGCTTCTCTTCGCCCATTTCATTCATTTTATCCTCAGTCGCTGACATTCTTTCTTCCAGTTGATCGTAGTCGGTTACTGAAGCTTGTGCATTTGTTACGTATTTGTCATGGTTTTCGCTTCTTCATTTCGTTTATGAGCTTCTCTGCATTAATTACTCTAGCCATCAATTCTTCCACTTTTTTTCAAGATTTTTAGTTTCTTTGCGCTGGGTACGTAATTCCTCCTTTAGCTCTGAGAAATTTGATGGACTGAAGCCTTCTTCTCTCATCTCGCCGAAGTCATTCTCCGTCCAGCTTTGATCCATTGTTGGCGTATGAGCTGCGCTCCTTGCCGGGGAGATGCGTCTATTTTTGAATTTCCAGCTTTTCTGCCCTGCTTTTTCCCATCTTTGTGGTTTTATCTGCCTCTGGTTCTTGATGATGGTGGGACAAATGGATGGGGTTTGTGTAGGTGTCCTTCCTGTTTGTTAGTTTTCTTCTAACAGTCAGGACCCTCAGCTGTAGGTCTGTTGGAGATTGCTTGAGGTCCACTTCAGACCCTGTTTGCCTGGGTATCAGCAGCAGAGGTTGCGATAGAATATTTGAACAGCGAAAGTGTACCTGTCTGATTCTTGCTTTGGAAGCTTCCTTTCAGGGGTGTACCACCCTGTGAGTGGGGGTGTCAGACTGCTCCCTAGTGGGGATGTTCTGTTAGGCTACTCAGGGCAGTGGACCCACTTGAGCAGGAGTCTGTCCCTTCTCAGATCTCAACCCCGTGCTGGGAGATCCACTGCCTCTTCAAAGCTGTCAGGACAGAGTCGCTTGCATCTGCAGAGCTTTCTGTTGTTATTGTTTACTGTGCCCTGTCCCCAGAGGTGGAGTCTACAGAGACAGGCAGGTTTCCTTGAGCTGCTGTGAGCTCCATCCAGTTCGAGCTTCCCAGCAGCTTTGTTTACCTACTTAAGCCTCAGCAATGGAGGGCGCCTCCCCAGCCTTGCTGCTGCCTTGCCGTAGATCACAGAGTGCTGTGCTAGCAATGAGGAGGCTCGGGTGGGTGTGGACCCTCCTTCTGGCCCAAGTGTGGGATATTATCTCCTGGTGTGCGTGTTTGCTTAAAGCGCAGTATTGGGGTGGGAGTTATCCGATTTTCCAGGTGTTGTGTGTCCTGTCTCTGGCTAGAAAAAGGGATTCCCTTCCTTATGCTTTCCAGGCGAGGCAATGCCTCGCCCTGCTTCAGCTCTCGCTGGTCGGCTGCAGCAGCTGACCAGCACCGATCGTCTGGCACTCCCTGGTGAGATGAACCCCAGTACCTCAGTTGGAAAATGCAGAAATCTCACTGGGTCTTCTGTCATTGCTGGGCTGGGAGTTGGAGACTGGAGCTGTTCCTATCCGGCCATCTTGCCCGCCCAGTAAAGTGTTCATGAAAACAAATAGGTGATGGTTGCACAACACTGTGAATAAAATAAATGCCACTGAATTATACACTTTAAAGTGGTTAAATGGTGAATTTTATGTATGTGCATTTTAACACAATGTCACCTAATATGCAATTTAGAAGAAATATAAAGAAGCATATTTAAAAACAGAACCTATCTATTTACAATAGAACAGCTATGTTCAGGTGGCTTGTCAAAAGAATCCCTTGGTTGTAAAATCTTTGCAGTTCCAACCTTATACTTGCAACAAAACTTGTATATATAACGTTTTATCGAGAAGAAAGATGCTTCATAACCATATGCAAAAGATTTTTCTATTTATCTCTGAACACAATCATATCCTCATTTCCCATTTAGACAATGAAGTTGTAAAAATGAAATCTAATTTAATAGATCTTGGCAAACACAATTTTCCACTCTCGTAAAGTTTAAGGTTCCTTTATTATAAAATGAGCACTGTTATTCAATTCCTAAAGAGCGTGGTCTTTCAGGGGAGAAGTGACCCAAGATGTTGGGAGCTACATATTAGTAATTCTTTGAATTAGGATAACAAAAATGTGCTGCTAGTTGCTATCCCATAACTGAATGACTCATTATTGTAAAATCGTTTCAATTTTGTTCAGTGGATCTTAGGAAATGGCATTTATCAATTTTATTTAGTCTAGAATTTTAGAACTCCTTGTCTCACTCCCTCTAATTTCCCTACATTTCCCCAAATCTCAAATAGCACGATGGTAAAAGAAAATACTACATATTCTAAGACCCCGAAAATTATTGCTTTCATCCCCAATGGAACTGGAAAAAGAAAACCTCACAAAATAGCAAGTATCTAACTTTCAAAGGATCCATTTCAGTACATCTGTATCAAAGCCAGAGTGAATCTTTTTCATTCTACTGAGTAGCGAATATACTGAACTATTTCTGATTTCCATATTTACTGCCTTACTTAGAGTAAAACAGAAATGCCAGCAACTTCCAACTTCTCAAAAAATGTGTTGCCAAGAAGAAATTTTCAATAACCTCTTGGGGAAAAAATTACAAGATTTTGTCATCCAGATTTCAAAGGAAATGATCATAATGCTTTATAAATAATGAAAGCATTTGCTACAGAAGTACTTAAAATACAATTACTTCATTTACTTTTAGAGACTCCATCAAAGTACGCTTCCAGTGCACACTTTCAGGGCAGGTGCCTGTAATTAAATGTGGTCCTCACCCTGATTCCATTTCCTGGTTTAAGTACTTTTTGTTTGAGAGCACTAACTCTCTGCTAATTCATAAGGAAGATATTACTGCCAAGTTCCATGAAGCTTTCTGAGAAATTCATCAGTGCTACAAACTACTGACCTTACCCTAAACCCATCTGCTTGCAGGCCAACTGACTGAACATCTCCCTCACAGCCATCTCCACACACATGGTGTTCTGTGGCAGCTCTGTGAACCATCAGAAAGGAAGAGGAGTTCACATTTATAGAGAGGGTCACTAGGGAAAGAAAAGACAGGGGAAACCCTAATTAAAAACATTTCTTCCATGGAAGCACACAACTTACATGCCTCTCTGCTTCATTGGCATACATTCATTTTTATTTTTTTTTTCATTAACCTTTTGATGTGTACCTACCCTTGTGCAAATCACTGCCTTCAGTGTGCTAGAGGGCTAAAAAAAAAAAATGAATTAGAAATGTTCTCTACCCTCAAAGAACCGTAGACTCTAATGAAAGAGACAGGCAGTTCTTAACTTTTCTTGATGAGTCAGAAGACAGCCAGAGCCAGGCCTCATCCCATGAGTTAACCAGGATTTGCATAATTACAAGAAGTGAGTTGTAAATCCATTTCTATCATTTCCTTCAAGAAAGCATATGAGGATGTAAGTGCGTGAGAGGGATGGAATTAGGATTAATGTGGTATATGTGTTAATTCCTATTATATAAAGGAGTATCCTCTGTACTTAACCAGCCTCAGAGCTCTTTATGAAACTCCTGCACAATTGATCACAACACACATGAGAATCGTGATTTGGCTGGTTGATGCAAAGGACTGAGAAAGAGCTGAGCAAATGGAAGGAGTGATGAGTGCGGGGTGAGGAAATTAATCAAACTCAAGATCACAAACTGCAACACTGGAGGTGCTGGTAGGAGATGTCTTTAATTCCTGTCTGTGTAAGGAGCTAGATAGTTAGAAGTCTTGGACTTAGAGAGTGTAGGGAAGGCAGAGGGGCCACTTGACTATTCTATTCTAGTAGGTATAGATGACAAAAGATTGGCAGACTATCATTAAATTTATTGAAGTTGTGTTTTAATGAATAATTTTTAAATCCTATTCCAGCAATTATATGATTACAACATTTTGAACAGAAAATGTTTTTCCCTATAATATAAATATTTCAAATAGTGAAGTAACTTGGTGGGGAAATTTTCTGTGAGTTGGAAATAACACACATAGATCACCACTATCACTAACAGTAAAACAAAATAGATGAACTTGGCCAGTAAAATTCAGGAAGTAATTTAGGATTCATTTAGCTTCAGTGGCTGACAGGCCTGAGAGAGTACAACAGATGGCAGAAACAAGTAGCTCACCACAGTCCCATTCATCTGAACTGTCTGAGCAGTCGGCTTCACCGTCACACCACAGGTTACGTGACACACATGCATGGTTTGCACATTCCAGCTCATCATCTTGGCAAAATGCTGGCATGCGGAACAAAAAGTGAGAAGGAAAACATTTTAGAAATAAATGTGATTATTACTAACATGCACATCTTCATGTGCCAGTAGAAGCATGGAAAGAAGAAAGTATGTGATCGCTGAGACTTCCAAACGAACATGAAAACAGTATAAACAGAATTTGTAAAATATTATTTAATAGACATCAATACACACAAAACAGAATTACTACGTTCAAGTGACTCAATGTTCCGATTCTAACAATCAGACTGAATAAACGGTACTCAGAGCAGCAGAAATACCCAAGATCAGAGAACGGGGTTAAAATCTGCATGAGCAGAGCATGAGGGATGAACAGACTGAAGCCACCTTAGAAAGAAAACAATCTCTGTCCACACAGATGCATAATGGGTTTTTTTTTTTTTTACATCTCTACTATTAAATGACTCTGTGAATCATACATAGTTCTCTTTTGAGTTTTAAAAATTATAGTAAATCTCCTTGATTGCCTACTTAACAACCATTTCCTTTCTTCCTCCTTTTTTTAAGGGAGCCCAATTTTGTTCAGATCCCCACACCCGCCATCCCCAGTTCCAAAGGAAGATCCTGATTAATTTAAGCTGGGCATGGCATTTTTCTGTCTACAGTTTGTTTGTTTGTTTTCTGAATACAATTAGTAGTCCAGGAGTAAACACATGCTCTGATATCATAGGCCTTGGCCTATGGTTGTGTGACTGTGTTTCACATGACAGCTCCTTCCCAAACTCTGCTGCTGTGCCATGTGCCCTAGTTGGGGACAGGAACAACCTGGAGAAAACAGCATCTTTTTTTTTTACTGGTTCTCCCTGAATGGTGTTTCTTTTTGCAGTTCAGCTGTTTGTAGCAAGTGTCTTTTCTAACTACACAAAGGCTCCTGACGGCTAGCTGTCACTCTGCCCAAAGTTGACCTGAGCAAATCCCTTAATGATATCTTGGAGATATGAACATGGTCCTTCCTCCTTCCAGCTGGACATGATCAAGGAAGCATGGTGCCCCAGGTGCCCATGGTAATATCATCTTTTCGCCATTGTGGGAGCCAGCCTGAGTTGAAACTGAACTGAAATCACAGACAAGGTACTAAACTGCCACATACAGCCTCAAGAGTCCATCCTACACTTGACTCTTTATATGATAATATAAAACATGTGAGATATATATATATATGATAATATAAAACATGTGAGAGATATATATATATGATAATAAAAGATAAATGTCTTCATTGTCATTTCAATTTGGGCTTTTCTGTTTGTTTCTGTTTCATTTATCTATCTGTAGGTAAAACATCTTAAGAGACATAATTATTTTCCGGTTCTAAAAGCAATGGTCATTCATTTAGAAAATGTAGAAAAGAGAGAAAAGCACAAAAATTTAATAATTACACCACCCAAAGACTGTAACTGTAAACTTTTAATTATGACTTTCTGATCTTTTTCTATGTGTGGATATATGTACTTTCGAAACTCAGGACAATAATGCACATAACACTGAATATTTTGTTTTATTCAACTAATGATATAAAATGAATCCAAGAGAAATTTTTCTTCTCTAATCTAATTTTAATATTTGCATATTATTTTCTTGTATGGTTGTAGTTTATGTTCCCTATTTTTGGATATTTGGAGGTATTTTAATTTTCTCATACTATAAATAATGCCAGAAGAATATTACAGTGTATATATTTTACACATATTTAGTTGGCTTCTTAGAGTATGTCTTTACAAGTGGAGTTTGATCAAAAGATGTGAAAATACTAAAAGATTTGTATGGATACTCACACATTTTTAGCTTGTATTCAAAATGAGACTTAACTGGTGTTTAAAATAAAAATGCTGTGTTGACAAATTCGCATAAGCACTTACAGCAGTTTTTTTCATCCATGTAATCAGGGCAGTCTGGGAACCCATCGCAGATGACTGTGTGCTTCAAACATTGTTTATTGGATGGACATTCCCAAAGATCTCTCTCTTTACAACCTAGAGACGGAAGAAAAGGTTATTTGCAATAGACGTGGAGTTGAAAACAATGATAAATTCAATCAATGTAGAAAAACTACACTATAAAGGCATGATATCGTCTGGGCGCAGTGAATCATGCCTGTAATCCCAGCACTTTGGGAGGCCGAGGTGGGCAGATCACAAGGTCAGGAGATCGAGACCATCCTGGCTAACACGGTGAAACCCCGTCTCTATTAAAAATACGAAAAAATTAGCCAGGCTTGGTGGCATGTGCCTGTACTCCAGAGGCTGAGGCAGGAGAATCGCTTGAACCTGGGAGGCAGAGGTTGCAGTGAGCCAAGATCATGCTACTGCACTACAGTCTGGGCAGAGCGAGACTTTGTCTCAAAAAAAAAAAAAAAGCATAATGTCTTTTTTCTTAAAAAGTTTTGACCCCTGAATACCATGAATAATATAATTTTAAAAGTAGAAATACCCAATAATATTCATATTATAATATAAATTGTATAGTTGACCTAACAGAAGATCAAAAGTGACATACGGGGCCAGGCATAGTGACTCACGCCTGTAATCCCAGCACTTCAGGAGGCTGACGTGGGCGGATCACTTGAGCTCAGGAGTTGGAGACCAGCACGGCCAAGATGGTGAAACCCTATCTCTACTAAAAAATACAATAATTAGCCAGGCGTGGCGTAATCCCAGCTACTTGGGAGGCTAAGGCAGGAGAATCATTTGAACTCAGGTGGTGGGGGTTGCAGTAAGCCGAGATTGCACTACTGCTCTCCAGCCTGGGTGACAGAGCAAGACTCTGTCTCAACCAAAAGAAAAAAATAGTGACATAGGGGACATGGAGAAAAAATTTAAAACCATACATTAACATTCATCTTTAGCTGTTCCTTTTTCTTTCTGAGTGAAATTGTTGTCAATGCATAAGACTAATCTATAAAATAATATTATGCTTTTAAGCAAATATGCCAAAGTCTAGTGATCTAAATGCACAGCACCTTAAAATGTAATTTCATTCTACAAATCAGGAGGCCATCTGTTTTTTTAGCAAAAGAGGCTCCTTCTACGCCAAACAAAACTAGTTTAAGAGCCAGGTACAAAAGCTATTACTTGATGGTAGTCAGAGATCTAAAGTTGGAAACTTCATCAATTAGTAAGAGAAATGAATATAATTTGCACATTAATGTAATAACTTGAACTGTAATTTGCCTATGAAATAGCAAGCACTTGTGATGTATTTAATAAATATCATTGATGATTCATGTGCCTGCTAAAGTCTGACAAGAGTCTAATATGTTTTGTCATTCCGGTCAGATCCCTGGCCCAGGCCAGGCCGTGAAGTACATGAAGGAAGAGACAATGTGGCAAAAAAATTTGAGTACCCTCCACCCTCTTGGCTAGAACAATGGCTAGCATGTGGCAGGCCCTCAATATGTGTGTGTTTTAAGTAGAACTTCATTTCATGTAAGGAAAAAAATGTCTCTGGCTCCCAGGAAAATATAATTTATTTTAAGGTCAGTGAAATGCAAAGCAGTGATCAAATAAGAAGTTTCTTCAAGAATGTTATTGTTCATCTGACCTACTACAAATGAGTCAGATACATTTTGTAGATGATTGACTCAGGTTTCTTGGAACCCATTATAAGAAAAAAACTGGTTTTCAAAATGTTCACTAAAAACAATTATAAAAATAAGTGACCCAAAATGCTTATTATAAGCTAAAATTAGATTTAGTGTGTTTCATCATCCAAAGATATAGGAAATAAATAATGAGAGTCTTTCACTGGCTGATAATCTGGAGTGGTCTTAGGCCCAGGGACATCCATTCCAAGAATTCACAGGGACATTATTTAGAGTTTTCAGCTAGTAGAGGATCCAGACAGCATCTGAAAAGTTCTGACAATAAGAGTCTCCTGAGTTTTGAGAAAGAGCCTGAAATCTGTCCTCTGTGACCCAGCTCCTGCCAAATGCTACAGTCTGCTCATTCTACCAGAGAGCAAAAGACATCAAAAAAGAGGGTTCAACACTCCATGCATGGTGCTGATCCTTCTCCAGAGCTGCTCCTTTGCTCACAAAACACACCACTTGCTAATAGAGAATGAAATAAAATAGCATGAGTTTTTCTGACGATTCCCAAGGCACATTCTTCTTACCAAGGCACATTCCTCTTAAGACTACAAGGAAGAACTTTGACATTTGGAATGAGATGATGAAATACCACATAAATAGATCATCTGGGACAGAAGGCCCCCTACAGTGTATCCTCACAAATAATAATCATCATGATAATGAGATAACATGTATTATCCACTATGTATCCACATTCTAGATATTAGCTTTAATTCTTAAAATAACCCTATAATGTCAGCATTATGCTCACCATTTTATAAGTGAGGAAACTAACATTTAGAGAAATTGAATCTCTCCACATCACAGCTCCGCGGAGAAAGATCTGGATGAGATCCAGGTACAAGTCATTAATTGCAGTTCTTTGTAAGATGCGAACATGAGGCATGCATAAGGGGTAGGAGCAGTGGAAGCACAGCTTTAGAGTCAGACAACTGGATTTGAATCCTAGTTCCAAATCTCACTAGCTGTGTGAGCTTGGATAAGTTACTTAACTTCTCCAAACCTTGGTTTCCATAACATCTAAAATACAAATAATAATGCCTGCTTCATATGGTTGCTATAAACATTAAAAGAGTACTCCATAAGCATTCATTTTTTACCTCTCCATGTCTTCTCTTTTCTCATAAAAGTTTGCATAACATAAAGTTTGCATAAATAAAAGTTTGCATAATACCTCCTTTGTGGAGTTACAGTGAGCACAAAAGAAGTAGGATAAAAAGAGAGAGATATGAGTTACATGGGAGACAGTATTATTTTGAGAAGAAACCACTCACTTTCTTTGTAAAGTGACATTTTGGTGCAAATATGTTTTAAATTTATATTCTGAGAGGAAAACGATATGATTCCATCAAAAATTAAAAACAGGCATGGATGGGATGGGCTGTTTAATGCAGCTGTAGGTTATGAAACCAAATAATTGTTGATGTCAGAATAATAACCTCCCCAGCACAGAGACAATAGCAACAATCAATAATTGAGGATACAGTGTTCCAAAAAAGTGATCAACTCATCTCAGTTTGCCAGGGATTTAACTGATTTGAGCATGACATATCCCTTGTTCCAAAAGATCCCCATCAGTCCCAGGCAAATCAGGTTGACTGGTCACACTAAGTGTGCTAAGCATTCATCTGGGTTTTTTGCTTACTCTGTCTCTCATTTTCACAAAAACTCTGTGAAACAGGCTGTCCTGACAGAGGCAGTCTCCTCCCCCCACTCCGCCCCTAAATGGAATACCTTGTTTCTCTATAAAAACAGTTGTCATTACAAATAAAGTCAGCAAATCAACTTAAAGCAGATGCTTTTTGTTCTGTAAGAATCTCTTAGCTATGCAACTATAGAGTAAGTAGGTCCACTCATCCTCTTGAGTTGAGCTGCATGAAATTTTTAAATTCTCACCCTTCAGAGTGGAACCACTCACAAGGAGGAAGGAGACAAGGTAATACTGCATTGGCAAAGGCTGGAACAGTCTGGACTGAGCCATCCTGGACCAGCATCTGCCCCAGGAAGTGGCTGTGGACGTGACCTTGGAGCAGATCATAGGAGCTGTAACAGCCAGAGTATAGGCCTAACAGGTGTGAAGAGCCTTCTACAGCATGCAGGATCCTGGACAACAGTGCCCCTTCCCTCAAGGCATGGCTGCAAAGGGCTCTGCCTCTGCACCTGCTATAGCTGCTGGAACAGAGGACCTGCCTCCCACTGTGGTCCAGGCCTGACTATCAGGGCAGCAATACCAGCACAGGCCAACCAGCCACCATCCAGCTAGAAAGTCGCAGCAGCCTACCCAATTCCTGAGTCACTTCCTGCTTTTAGCAGTGCCATTTTTATGGCATGCTCTTCACATATGGGTGGCCCAGTCTCCTGTGAAAGAGGCAGGATGAAGGAATGGATGGGACTTTAAATTGCATGGCTCTAATCCTAAAAAGAGAGAATATCCAACTCAAAACCAACACTGTCTCCAGGAAAAGACACTATCCATCTACCTGAGTTTACTATGTGAGCCAGGGACCTCGCCCAGCCCATGCTGTAGCCTGACAGGCCAGCCCACTCTCTTTTGCCATAAACAGCTGTCAGAAACAAGGCTATGCTAGACAGGACTCCTTCCCTCAAGGGAGACTGCTGGGGCAGCCTTTGAAAGGAATTGCCTCCTGATTTCCCACCGCCACAGCAGGTGAGTTCCTGGTTATTGTCTTCTGAGATTGAACAGGGCATGTTATAAGCATTCCAAGCTGTGGGAGATAACGTGGGTGTTCTCTGCATCTTACCCAGAGAAGTAAAGTGACTGGCCAAATGTCACACAGCCTCTAAGGCTAAGTCAGGATGTAAATTCAAGTCTAAGTCTATGCAGGACGCTCTGCCATTCCAGTCTGCCTTCCCAAGACACCACAGAAGACAATGAAACAGTTAACCAAGTATCTAAAGGGAAGGAGAAAATTTGTCCTTTAACATGGAAAATTAAACCCTACTGAGTGATGAGAAATCAATCCTGAAAATTCATCCTGAAAGCACATTTGTGGATATGCCAAAGCTATGGACATAATGACTCTCACTCTTCTGCCAGCTACAGAGCAAAGAGTGGTCTCCTCCCCAAACAAAGAGACACAAAAGCATAGAGGCTGATGGTATTTGGAGTGTTAAGAAAGCCAGTTAAGCCCTTCTGTGAGACAACTCATAGAAATGCTATCCACAAATTCAAAAAGAAAACATACCTTTTGGAAACCCTTTGAAATCAAGCTGTAAAACCCATAAATATCAGAGTCAGATCTTCTAATACAACCTAAGGGGATTCTGACTCGGAGAAATGGCTCAGGTTATATTTAAAGGTTTTATTTTATTTAAGATCAAGAGGAGACCAAAGATAGGTGAAGAACTGGTTTTTTACTCATCTGACGATAAACAGAAAGTCACTTAATGACACTCAGACATTTGTATTGCTGTCAATCTTTTCTCCATATGATGTATACTTTTTTACTTAGAATAGTGATCAATTAGGAACTTTGATTCTGTGTTAGTGTAATAAAGGATTTTATTTTGACAGTAGATATAAAGCACCTGTTATAGCTACATTTTCATTTAATTGCTCCATTGGGAGTTGCTGCTTGCTTGCATCACAGCCCAGGTACCACCTGCTCTTGTAGCTGACCCAAATCGTGGAGGTAAAGTCTAGCGAGAGATAACCTCCACTTCACACACTCAAAGCTATAGAGTCATATAAAAACTGAAAAATATAATCTTTTTGTTGTTTTCCTTAGTTTTCCTTTCTTTGATGTCATTCTTGATCATTTATTTGCCCATATCTTTCCCTCATGCTCCACTGCATGGCTATCGATGCTTGGAAAATGTTATGTTGAAAATAAACTCATTTATCAAGTTGCTAGTTTTGCAGGCAGCTCCATCTATATCATGCATGCTCAATTACTGACATACCATCAATCCTTAAGACAATGCAGTACTGACACAGTGCAGATTCTGCTCAGCATTCCCCTGTCTCTTAGACTTCCTTCCCATATTGGATTTGCATAATTCATCCCAACACTTGTTGAAATCTTTTCTAGTACTGACATTTTCAACTCTTGTTTACATCGGCAATTACACAATCAAAGCAACCTCAAGAGTGAAAATCTACCACAAGAGCTGGAGATATTTAAAAACAATATTTCTGATTGCCAAATTCTAATGCATATATTTTAAAAGTGTATTTATAAGCTAAGTGCTTTGGCTACCATGTTTCTCCATTACAAAAGCGCCAAAGAAACAAGAAGTAAAGTTCATTTCTCATACAATATTTATTTTATAACTGAGTTAAATAAGTATTGTTTTGAGGGGAAACTCAATAACCTTGTTGGAAATTCTGAGGGAGCTGCAGATCCATGACAATAAATAGTTAATTGTTCAATTATTGAGTACAGCTCAAACACTTAAGACCACAAGGGACAGAATAAGTCAGAAAGGCAAGAAGCTTCCGGTGAAACCCAGCTTCGCTGGAGCTGGTGCTTGCTTTACCAGATGGTGTGCCTATGCACATACGAAAACAGAAAGACAAACAGCAAGGAGGCAAACGGGTTAAGCCTTCATCAACCTGACTTCCTTATTTGATCTGAAGTGGTGTGTCCTCCCAAATCACTGAACAAGTCCATTCAAATACATGCATGAGTCCCAAAGGGGAACGGAGTATGTAAAGTTTTCTATTGTTAGTCACTTCGGAAAACTTCTCATAAATTAGTACTGCTGGAGCAATTAATTTAACTCCAAAGGTATTATTTCTTACCCACTTTTAACTTTCCTTAACTAGAGCTCTCAATAGTGCTGTCAATTATTTTTAGTTTTTGATAGGGATTAGATAATATATTCTATTATTTTGGTGTGCCTTTAATTGTGTGATTAAAATACTGGTGAAAAACAATTACTTAACTAGAAACCTGATATTTTAGGGTCATTTAAACCCTATACCAATACTATAGTACTTTCAATTTGTTTTTTGCAGAATATGTTCTAGAACTCAGAACTTTTTGTCTTGGTAAGGCTGTTTTGTTTTGTTTTTAACTAAGCTTCTGTATTACTCAAATATTTAGTCCCCTACAACAAATTTAGGTCTAGCCACCCCAACAAAGTTTCATGCAAAATCTTTGAACCATCTAAGATACTCTATTTTAAATTGCCTCTCAAATACCATGACCCATCAAAGTCATAGTTAAGTGAACAAATCGAATACATTCTCAATAAATCACTTATATAAGGGATATTCAATGAGTTTTAATTTATTTCTTTACCAAAAAATAAAAATAAAAAATAAAAACACAAACAAGCAAACAACAGTAGCTTCTAAAAACACTGTACATTCCTCCATAATAAAATTACCCCAGTCATTGTACCATCATTCTGACAGCTGGGGGTTTCCAGAAGATGCACTCATCCATATTTATAGGAGCTCAGAGGATTTCGGTTAATTGCTTCTGACATTTTGTCTAGACCAGAAGGGCAACGCTTACCATAGAAAATTCGCTTAATGAAGCAAGGCAGTATTTCATACTTCAAAGGCCAAAAGAATGAAATGATTTCAAAAGATGTACTGCCTTATGTGTTTTTCATGAAACAGTGTCAATTCTTCTTAAACAGGAAAGGCTAAATAACCAAACCATTCTGTGAATAGATCTGCAATCATTTTGCTTTCCTCAAAAACACTGTTCATTAAAGGCCATTGTCTGACTTCTATTCCCTAATACACTGAGGTTACAAGTACAAAGATTTGCAGGGAAATATAATGAGAATTAAGTCCACTCAAATTACCATTAGGATTTACAGCTTTTCCACGGGTGATTTTGGAAATCAATGGCAGAAATGTCAAGAAGAGTTTTATCCTTTGCCAACAGAGAACAAATAAGAGAGTACATGAAAATGAATCCCAATTAAACTGGGAATGATGGAGTCTGAACTCTGAATGTTAGAGTATGAACTCTGCCTTCGTGCATCTAGATGTCTGCTTAGCAACATGGGAAGTATACGCAAAGACACTATTCTTCTGACTTTAAAACTGATAACTGTTTTATAATTTAATAATAAAAATAATTCCTTACATTTGTGAGGTGCTTTTCCTTTTAATAAGTGTTTGCAAATATAGTAGTGCCCCTCCACCCTTATCTGCAGTTTCAGTTTCCACGGTTTCAGTTATCCCTGGTTAAGCATGGTCCAAAAAGGTTGGCATAGTACAATATTTTTTGAGAGAGAGAGAGAAATCACATTCCCATTACTTTTATTTCAGTATATTGTTATAATTGATCCATTTTATTATTGTTGTTGTTAATCTCTCATTGCGCCTAATTTATAAATTAAACTCTATCATAGGGACGTATGTGTAGGAAAAAGCATAGTACTGCATATATGGGGTTCCATACAATCTATGGTTTCAGGTATCCACTGAGTGTCTTGGAACGTATCCCCACAAATAAGGGGGAGGAGTACTGTATGTATCAGGGTTATACAGAAGCGTAATTTAGAGGAAATCAAGAGTTAGGAAAAAGACTTAGAATATATGCCATACTGTTCAATAATTTAAGAAGTAAAGGCATTAGCATTCAATCCTAGTCCTACTATCAGTGAATAGTTTACATTTTTAACACAGTTTCTTATTCTATTCTAGTTAATACTGTACATTCAAGAAAAGTACCATTGCAAATACATACCACAGTTTTCCTCATCACTGTCATCATCACAATCGGCCTGGCCATCACATCTTCTGGAAGCCAGAACACACCGTCCTGAGCGGCACTTGAAATGACTAGGTGAGCATTCTATTAAAAACAATATTACGTTAAAGGGCTGAAAACCCAGAAACATCAGCTAATTTACGTATTTACATGTAGGATGTTGTCAAGGAGCTTTTACTGAAGATAAGAGTGGTCTCTTGCAAAGCAAAATAGACATTTCGCTTTGGTATTCTTCTGCCTACCAATCAGCATCTTTCTCCTTCATTCTTGGCAGTTTAACGTCTCTCTAGATACGCAGTTTAACGTCTATGTATTCCAATGATTAATTCTCTTTCCAAATGGGACAATCCAACAATTGCCAGAGCCTGATATGCCTTGTGGAGTCAGTGCTCCTGACTACCTAGCAGCTCTCAATATGTCAAAATCATTTCCACAGCCCCATCTTTCCACCTGGCCCACAATTCCATTTCTGTACTTAACGATCCTGTGTTGCCATGGTCCCCAAATGTTTTTTACTTGAAGGAACCAAGGTTTAATGTTCACCTTTGCCTTCAGAATCCCTAGTATAAAAGCATCCACACATAATGGGCTCTGTGAGTAAAGTACAGTTTAAGAAACACCGGAGTACTAATTAAACTCATCTCTGAGTTCATTATTTTTAATTTTAAAATTTTTTTTTGAGGGGAAGATGGAGCAAGATGGCCAAATAGAAGCCTCCACTAAGTGTCCTTTATGCAGGAACACCAACCTGAACAACATCCACACAAAAAAGCACCTTCATAAGAACTAAAATTCATGTGAGCAATCATAGTACCTGGTTTTAAATTCAGATAATTAAAAAAGGCACTGAAAAGGGTAGCAAAGACAATTTTGAATCACGAACACCACCCTTCCCCCATTCCCCAGCAAGAGCTGCGTAGTACAGAGAATCTGTGCACTTGTGGAGTGATTGTGGGACTTTGCATTGGAACTCAGTGGTGCCCTGTCACAGCAGAAAGCAATACCAGGCAGAGCTCAGCCAGTGCCCATGCATGGAGGGAGCACTTAGAACAACCCCAGCCAAAGGGGAATCACCCATCCCAGTGGTCAGAACTTAAGTTCTGGCAAGCCTTACCACCACAGGCTAAAGTGTTTGGGGGTCCTTAATAAATCTGAAAGGCAGTCTAGCCCACAAGGACGGTAATTCTTGGGCAAGTCCTGATGCTGTGCTGGGCTTGGAGACAGTGGACTTGGGGGCATGCAACCTAGTGCATGCCGCAGAGTGGCCAAGATAGTGCTTGTGCCACCCCTTTCCCAACCCCAGGCAGGCACAACTCGCAGCTCAGAAAGAGACTCCTTTCTTCTGCTTGAGGACAGGATAGGTGAGAGTAAAGGGGACTTCATCTTGTAACTTGGATATCAGCTTAGCCACAGTAGAATAGGGCATCAGGCAGAGTCCTGTCCAAGGCCCCCATTCCAGGCCCTAGCTTCCAGACAACATTTTTAGACCTATCTTCAACCAAAAGGGAACCCACTGACTTGAAGAAAAGGACCCAGTCCTGGTAAGATTAGTTACCAGCTGACTAAAGAGCCCTTGGGCCCTGAATTATCAGCAGCAGTACTCAGGCAGTACTTGTTGTGAGCCTTCGGTGAGACTGAAATGTGCTGGCTTCAGGTATGGCTGAGCACATTCCCAGCTGTGATGGCTACAGGGAGAAACTCCTGCTTGAGAACAGGAGAGGGAAGGGTAAAATGGATTTTGTCTTGCAGCTTAGGTACCAGGCTCGGCCACAGCGGGGTAGAACATCAAGTGAACTCTTGGGGTCCCTAATTCTAAGCCCTGGCTCTTGGATGACATTTTTGGATGTGCCCTGAGTCAGAGGCCAGCCCACTGTCCTGAAATGAGAGTCCCAGGCCTGGCAGCGTTCACCACAGGCTGACTGAAGAACCCTTGGGCCTTGAGTGAACTCTTGTGGTATGGTAGTACTTGTCATGGACCTGGGGTTGTAGTGATCATGAGGAGAGACCACTACCATTCTTCCATTACCTGTTTGTGGGAAGCGGAAGAGTGAGAACTTTCACTTGTGGCTTGGGTGCCAATACTGCAGAAATTCAAGGGATCATTAGAGGCTACTATGAGCAACTATATACAAATAAATTGGAAAACCTATGAGAGATTAATATATTCCTAGAAATATACAACCTACTAAGATTGAACCATGAAGAAATCCAAAATCTGAACAGAACAATAACAAGTAATGCTATTTAAGTAATAATTAAAAGTCTTTCGGGGGCGGGGGGGGGCGGGAAGCCTGTACCCAATGGCTTCACTGCTGAACTTTGCCAAATATTTAAAGAACTAGTACCAACTCTGCTTAAACTATTCCAAAAAATAGAGGAGGAGGGAATACATCCACATTCATTCTATGAAGCCAGTATTACCCTGATACCAAAGTTAGACAAAAACACATCAAAAAAAGAAAACTACAAGTCAATCTCCTTGATGAACATTAACGTAAAAGTCCTCAAGAAAATACTAGCAAACTGAATTCAACAACACATTGAAAGGTCATTCATCATGACCATTTAGGATTTGGATTTTTTGTTTGTTTGTTTGTTTGTTTTCTTGAGATGGTTTTGCTCCTGTCGCCCAGGCTGAAGTGCAGTGGCATGATCTTGGCTCACTGCAGCCTCTGCCTCCCAGGTTCAAGCAATTCTCATGCCTCAGCCTTCCGAGTAGCTGGGATTACAGGTGCCCACCACCATTCCCAGTTAATTTTTGTATTTTTAGTAGAGACAGGTTTTTACCATGTTGGCCAGGCTGGTCTTGAACTCCCGACCTCAGGTGATCCACTCGCCTCAGCCTCCCAAAGTGGTGGCATGACAGGCATGAGCCACTGCTCCTGGTGACCATTTAGGATTTACAGGAGTGATGCAAAAATGATATAACATGGAAATCAATCAATGTGATATATCATATCAACAGAACGAAGGACAAAAAGCATAGGATCATTTCAGTTGATGCATTTGAAAAAATTCAACATCCCTTCCTGAAAAAAAATCCCTCAAAAAACTGGGTAAGAAGGAACATACCTCAGCAAAATAAAAGCCATATTTGACAGACCCACAGTTAGTATCAAACTAAATGGGGAAAAACTGAAAGCCTTATCTCTAAGATCTGGAACATGACAAGGATACCCACTGTCACCACTGTTATTCAACATAGTAATAGAAGTCCTAGCTGAAGCAGTCATAAAAGAGAAATAAATAAAGGGCATCCAAATTGGAAATGAAGAAGTCAAATTATTCTTCATTGCAAATGATATGATCTTATATTTGGAAAAACCTAAAAACTCCACCAAAAAGCTATAGAACTGATAAACAAATTCAGTAAAGTTGCAAGATACAAAATCAACATACAAAAATCAGTAGCATTTCTGCATGCCAACAACAAAAAAATCTGAAAGGGAAACCAAGAAAGTAATCTCATTTACAAAAGCCGCAAATAAAATAAAATACCTGGAAATTAACTTAACCAAAGAAGTGAAAGGTCTCTGTGATAAAAACCATAAAACACTGATTAAACAAATTAAAGAGGACATAAAAAATGGAAAGATAGTCCATGTTCATGGATTGGAAGAATCAATATTGTTAAACTTTCCATACTATGTGTATTAGGCCATTCTTGCATTGCTATAAAGAAATACTAGATGCCATGTAATTTATAAAGAGGTTTATTTGGCTCATGGTTCTGCAGGCTTTAAAGGAAGCCTAGAGTCTGCTTGGTTTCTAGACAGGCCTCGTGAAGCTTACAATCATGGCAGAAGGTGAAGGAGGAGCAGGAACGTCACATGGCAAAAGCAGCAACAAGAGAGAAAGAGAGAGTTGGAGGTAGGCACCATGACTAGATCTCCTGTGAACTCAGAGTGAGAGATGTCTCAAGCCATTCGTGAAGGATCTGCCCCCATGATCTAAACACCTCCCACCAGACCCTACCTCCAACACTAGGGATTACATCTCAATATGAGGTTTGGGTGGGGAAAAATATCCAAACTATATCATTCTGCTCTGCCCCTTCCCAAATCTCATGTCTTCCTCACATTTCAAAATACAATATCCCTTCTCAATAGCTCCGCCAAAGTCTTCACTCATTCCAGCATTGACTCAAAAGTCCCAAGGCCCAAATTCAAAGCCTTATCCTAAATCAAAATAAGTTCCTTCTACCTATGAGCCTGTAAAATCAAAAGAAGGTATTTACTTCAAAGATACAACAGCTGTACAGGCATTGGGTAAACATTCCTATTTCAAAAGGGAGAAATTGGCTAAAAGAAAGGGGCTACAGGCCCCATGCAAGCCCAAAACCCAGCAGGGCAGTCATTAAATCTTAAAGCTCCAAAATAATCTCCTTTGACTACATATCCCGCATCCATGGCACACTGGTACAGGGGTGGGTTCCTAAGGCCTTGGGCAGCTCTGCCCCTGTGACTTTCCAGGGTTCAGTCCCCATGGCTACTTTCACAGGTTGTTGAGTGCCAACAGCTTTTCCAAGCAAAGGGTGTAAGCTGCCAGTGGATCTACCATTCTGGAGTCTGGAGTGCAGAAGCCAACTTCCCACAGCTCCATGAAGCGGTGACCACTGGGGACTCTGTGTGGGGGCACCAGCCCCATGTTTCCCCTCTGCACTGCTCTCACAGATGTCCTTTGTGGGGGCTCCACCCCTGCAGCATGCTTCTGCCTGGGCACCCAGGCTTTCTCATACATCCTCTGAAATCTAGGCAGAAGCTACCAAGCCTCATGCACTTTTGCTCTCTGTGCACCTTCAGGCTTAACCCCATATAGAAACCAACAGGCTTATAGCTTCCATTCTCCAAAGTGGCAGCCTGAGATGTACATGGGCCTCTTTGCGCTATGGCTAAAGGTAGAGTGGCCTGGATGCAGGCAGCAGTGTTCCAAGGCTGCAAAAGGCAGTGGGGACCTGGGCCTGGCCCATAAAACCATTCAGTCCTCCTGGCCTTAAGGCCTGTGATGGGAGGGGCTGCCTGGGAGATCTCTGAAATGCCTTCAAGGCATTTTTCCCATTATCTTAGTTATTAGCTCTTTGCTCCCTTTTGGTTATACAAATTTCTTTAGCAATTCAGCCTGCTTGAATTCCCCTACTGAAAAAGCTTTTTGTTTCTTTACCACATAGGTAGGCTGCAAATTTTCCACACTTTTATGCTCTGCTTCCCTTTTAACTATAAGTTTCAACTTTAAGTTATTTCTTTGCTCCTGTATCTGAGCACAGGCTGTTAGAAGCAGCCAGCCTATGTCTTGAACACTTTGTTGCTTAGAAATTTCTTTCATCAGGTACCCTAAATTTTCACTCTCAAGTTCCAACTTCAACATATCCTTAGGGCATGAACAGAATGCAGCCAAGCTCTTTTCTAACACACGACATGGGTGAACCTTTGCTCCCATTCCCAGTTAGTTCCACATTTCCATTTGAGATCTCATCAGCCTGGCCTTCACTATCCATATCACTATCAGAAATTTGGTCACAATCACTTAACCAATTTCTAAGAAGTTCCAAACTTTCCCTCATCTTCCTGTCTTCTTCTGAGCTCTCCAAACTCTTCCAACCTCTGCCTATTACCCTGTTCCAAAGCTGCTTCCACATTTTCAGGTATCTTTATAGCAATGCTGAACTTCTAGTACCAATTTTCTGTGTGAGGCCATTCTTGTGTTGCTATAAAGAAATATCTGAGACTGGGTAATTTATAAAGAAAAGAGGTTTAACTGACTCATGGTTCTGCAGCCTTTACAGGAACCATGGTGAAGACATCTGCTCAGCTTCTCTGAAGGCCCCAAGAAGCTTACAGTCACAATGAAAAGCAAAAGGGGAGCAGGCACGTCACATGGTAAAGAAGGAGCAAAAGAGAGAGTAGGGGAAGAGGTATTGTCGCACTTTTAAATGACTACATCTCATGTGAATGCAGAGCAAGAGTTCATTTGTCACTAAGGAGATGACCCAAACCAATCACTAGGGATCTGCCCCCATGATCCAAACACCTCCCATCAGGTCCCACCTCCAACATTGGGGATTACATCTCAACATGCAAGGACAAATATCCAAACTATATCACTATGTAAAGCAATCTATAGATTAAATATAATCCCTATTAAAATACCAATGACATTCTTCACAGAAATAGGAAAAAAGTCCTAAACTTCATATGGAACCACAAAAGACTCAGAATAGCCAAAGCTATCCTGAGCAAAAAGAACGAGAGGAATCACATTACCTGACTTCAAATTATACTACAGAGCTATAATAGCCAAAACAGAATGGTACTGGCATAACAACAGACACATAGGCCAAGGGAACAGAAGAGAAAACTGAGAAAATAACTCATACATCTACAGTGAATTCATTTTCAACAAAGGTTTCAAGAACATATACTAGGGAAAGGACAGTCTCTTCAATGAATGGTGCTGAGAAAACTGGATATTCATATGCAGAAGAATGAGATTAGACCCCAATCTCTTGCCATATACAAAAATCAAATCAAAATGAATAAAGACTTAAACCTACGACTTCAAATTATGAAACTACTAGAAGAAAACATTGGGGAAACTTTCCAGTACACTGGATGCACAAAATTTTTTATGTGATATTGCATGAGCACAGACAACCAAAGCAAAAATGGACAAAAGGGATTACATAAAGTTAAAAGCTTCTGAAAAGCAAAGAAAAGTAAAAAGACAACCCACAGAATGGGAGAAAACATTTGCAAAATATCTATACGATAAGGGATTAATAACCAGAATATATAAAATGCTCAAACAACTCTATAGAAAAAAAGACTAGTAATCTGATTTAAAAATGGACAAAAGATCTGAATAAACATATCTCAAAAGAAGACATACAAAAGACAAACAGGTATATGAAAAGGTGCTCAACATCACTGACTATCAGATAAATGCAAATCAAAACTACAATGAGATATCGTCTCACCCAAATTAAAATCTCTTATATCCAAAAGACAGACAATAACAAATGCTAGCAAGGATGTCAAGAAAAGGGGATCCTCACCCACTATTGGTGAGAATTCAAATTAGTGCAACTATTAGGGAGAACAATTTGGAGGCTTCTCAAAAAACTAAAAGTAGACCTACTATATGACCCAGCAATCCGACTGCTAGGTATATACCTAAAAGAAAGGAAACCAGTATATAGAAGAGATATCTGCACTCCCATGTTTGTTGCAGCACTATTCACAATAGCCAAGATTTGGAAGCAACCCAAATGTCCATGAAAAGATGAATGGATAAAGAAACATATATGCAATGGAGTATGATTCAGCCTTAAAAAAGAATGAGAGCCTGTCGTTTGCAACAACATGGATGAAAGAAGACGTCATTGTGTTATGTAAAATAAGCCAGGCACAGAAATACAAACTTCTTATGTTCTCACTTATTTGTGGGAGCTGAAAATTAAAACAATTGAAGTCATGGTGATAGAAAGTAGAGCAATGGTTGCCCATGTCTGCCAAGGGTAGTGGTGGGGGAAAGCAGGATTGGTTAATTGGTACAGAAATATAGTTAGATAGAATGAATAAGATCTAGTATTTGACAGCACAACAGAGTGACTAGAGTCAACAATAATTTGTTGTACATTTAAAAATAACTAAAATTGTTTGTAACACAAAGAAAGGATAAATGTTTGGGGTGATGGATACCCCATTTACCTGATGTGATTATTATGCATTGTGTGTCTGTATCAAAATATTTTAGGTACCCCATACATATATATACCTGCTATGTACCCACAAAAATAAAAGAATAGAAATAGCAAATGACTTCATTTTTAAAATGAATGCAATATCTAACAGACAGGTGCCGAATTCTTCAATGCAATCAAATTCACAAATTCACTCACCTAAGCAGCCTGATTGGCCACTAAATAGAAAACAAACAAATAAGAAACCATAAATAGAAGAAGTTGAAAAGGTAGCTAACATGTTCATCCATGTTAAATACCCCGCTGTAATTAATTTTAAAATTAACCTTCCACATATTCATCAGGCATCAGGCAGGTTTGATTGTCTGAATTTTCCTCTGGAAATTGACTGCAATCTGTGTCTTCAGGCCACTGTAGGCCCACAATCCCAAGAACAGACTCACAGCGTTCTTTAGAGTGCTCACACAATGCTCTAGATGAACAAGAAAAACAAAACATTAGAAGCAGAATTAGCTCCATCTGAGACAGATGTTATGAATTTATGTCAAGTTTTAAATTCTGTGTGTGTGGCAGGTATAGTGGGTGTGTGGATATAAAAGATGCACATATATATAATAGGTATTTGGGAAACCAAAACAAGTAATATCTCTGTAAAGAGTATACATTCCAGCACCACACTTTCACCAAAAGAAACTTTATTGCAGAAATAGCTCTAAAGATGTTTCCAGGACACAGATTCCCTTCTCCACATTGCCTTTCTCATTCTCTCTTCTGTCTTTGAAGCAGACACATTCTCCAACATTTTGTTCCAAACAGGGAAGTCTCCAACATCACTTTGGATAGTTTGCCACCAAAGTCATTGAATCTATTCATCAACCTCATCCTCAGAGATCTCCCTCTCTGCAGACCAGCCCTGTGAGCCATCTCATGTGCCACCCTAGCTTGCCTAAGGCATTGCCTCCCTTACTTCAGCTTCCATCAATATTGTTGAAAAACTTAGGACTCCTCCCAAACCCACTTATGTTGAGCTCGAGTCAGTTAAAGTGTTTGTTTTTTGTTTTAAAGAAATGATATACTAAGTATTGTATCATGCACTTTCAGGGGTGTTATGTCTTTTGTCCCCAGAATATTTTTAGGTTAAGGTATCAGCGTGCCTCACAGAAGATTTCTTTACTTCTTTTTTACTTCTTATGGAAAAAATTATGATTTTTGTCTCAATATAGTACTAAGAAATTAGTTACATAGTTAAAAAAATAAATTAAAAAAAACCTAACCAAAGTAAGTTCCTAGGCCAATACTCTCTTAATGGACTCAAATGCATGCTTACGTCTCAAAAGTTTCAAATTTTGTACTTTAATTCAACCAAGTTCTCATTTTTAAGGTAAAATGGGAGACAGATCTTCCAGAAAGGCCAGCTCCAGTCTTGCCCAAAACTGGTAGAGAAAGTGTAACAATCAAATGAGGAAGTTTCAGAGAAAATTCTTTCTAGGTTTAAGTCTGGACAAAGCTCAGCATAACTCAACACCAGGAATTTGGGGTAAAGATAAAGCCGTGGTATTCCTATGTTAGGTCAGAAAAGATGGAAAGTTCAATAGTTGATAACTGTCTGTTGAACTAACTAGCTTTGTTGCAGATTTATAAAAAAGGTATGCAACTCAATTGTGGCTGCTATTTTAAATTAGTCATATTTATACAGAAGACTGTATATTGCCTAACTCTACCACTTCCTATTTTTTTCCGTAAAATGGAAATTACAACAATACACAGCAGCACAACTCCAGGGGGTGCTGTTCTTATCATAGTCCTTATAGTGCCCGCGCCGTAGGCAGCACCTCTGATGATACACACCTCACTCAAAAGGTTATTTTGAGTACACTCCTAACAATCCTCAAGTATTTAGCCCATTGTAAGGACTTGATGTCAGATTTTTCAGTCTCATAGCTAAAATATTCAATGTTAAAATTAATAAACAGACCTAGCAAAAGCAGGCAAAAGCAACAACGTATCACTTTATAAGCTTATTAGCATATTATTCAAAAATTTCTTATAAACAAATATCAAAATATAAAATTCACAGTGATAGACACTGAAAATGAAAGATGTATGGGTGAACCTGAAAAAAAGAAATAAAGTTATCTAAAAGAAATTTACCAAAATTTTGATTGAACTACACTTCACGATCATGCTTGTCTCAGGCATTTTAATATGGAACTTAAGCCCTGAAATTATAAATTATATCTGGATATAAATTCACATTTCCATTTACAGCAGAAAGTGCTGCTTTAGGGAAATTTTTATCTACATATGAAAAGAAAGTCAAATGCCAGAAATTGTTAAGCACTATTAATAGGAAATTATTCACTATCACTGACCTTGCTTAGCAAAAGTGAAGATTTAGAAACAGCTTTTTAACATAAAATTGGTAGATATTTTATTAGAGATACTTTTAAAAGTACTTAGCAGAAATTTTCAGAATTATTTCTACACCAGCTAACATTTAGTTTTATTCTCTCTATTGGTATAATTTGTTCAGTCCCCCAAGTCATTTTGAAATTTTATTATTTCCTGTCCTGTCTCTATAGATGCCCTTACTTTGTCATCCATTTGGTATTCAGCATATAATTTATTGTTTTCTCTTCTGTCCACTATATTAATAGTACTGCTTAAAAAAAAACAAAAACAAAAACTCTGTATGACTTCTGATCCCAACATGTGGTTTCTGCAGTTGCTACTCACATTTAGGCCAGCACATTTGTATACCCACCCCTTGAGGGAAAACAGCACTGAAGAGAGTAGTAACTCACTTCTGAGAGTCATCTTGTATATGCAAACCCTCTAACTACAATGCCTACCACATGGCACAGCAAAGGGACAGACTGCCAAGAAGCTATTGTGTTCCTGTGCTATTATCATAGCTATTGTCCATTCAGCGTTCACTACAATGAATCAGAAGCCCTTTACATTCATTTGATCTCAAAACAGTACAATCCAACAACCATTACTATCCTTTATTGTACATGTAAAGGAACTGAGGCTGAGAGAGACTCAGGAATCTGTCTAAGGGCTACCCAGAAACTAGAGAAGGGTCAAGATTTGAACTCAAATATGGACTCTGGAACAATACTCTTGACACCAGAATATCACTCATATTCAAAGTTCAAGCTGCACTCTTGAAATAGTGCATCTTATTTCATTCAAACAGGCAGAGAAATGTCAGCAATGTCCATCCCTGTCCAATCTGTAAGGCTGGCACAATGTCCTGTGTCATATCTCTAACAAGTGCTGTCAGAGTGCAGCATTTTAAACACATCAATGTTGCCAGAAAAAGAGGCAGATATATCCCTTTTCTACTAACATAGTTTTTTAAAAAATACTTTTTAATACAACAGAATGAAATACCTCTGAATTTATTTGACTAAAACATATAAACTATCATCAAAGGATGTTCATACCTCTCTTGTTTGGTACTTTGTTAATGAATTCTGACTCAAATATTCATTTTACAACTTATACTTCTTTGTCTCACTTGTTAAATATGAGGTATTTGTTAAATGCAGAGCTCTTTAGGGAAAGTTACTTTGTCCAAATTCAACTAAGTCTTCACCCCTTGGTTCTCTCTGAGGCAAAATAAGGGACTGGGGGAGATCCCATCATATTACCTGCAAGGGGGGATACGCTGGCCTGTATTCACATCACACTTTGGTACCAAAATGGTGCAAGCAAAGAACATGAGGTATTTATAACAGTTGGTTTGAACAAGTGCAGGGAAAAGAGAAGACTCCCAGCTGATGGATGCTTCCTTTTGAGTCCTGTGGCCAAGGTAATTTGGATAACTTGTACTGTTGTAGGGCAAATTCATGCAGAGTTCCAATGTAATTGGTTCACATTGACCTAACAAAGAAACATACATACAAATATTTTTAAATTTCACATATTAAAACAACTTCTTTAAGTTTTACAAAGTTGAAATCTATTTTATTCTCTCTTTCTTTAGAGTAGCTAAGACTAGAATGCTAGTAGTATACAACATTTTTTATGGGTATTGAAAATAAGTAAGTTGATTAGTGAAGTGCCCTGGCCACTAAGATTCATTTCTGCATATGTAGTTGCTAACACTATGACAATATCGTGCTTTAGAAAGTCCTTCTTTATTTTTTCCCTTGGCTCATCTTATATAAAGATGACTCTCTTTCATCATTCCTTTTATTGACTCCAATTCATCTTCTTCTGATTTACTCATTACTACTAAAATAGGATAGCCCCATCATCTTCACTGTCACTAAACTAATTAATGAATTTGACTAAATAGGCAATTACATAACTTCTGTCTATATGTTTTATTGTTGATCAATGTGCTTAAATATAAGGCTACAAGATTTCAGGGCAAGAGGAGGCTCAGATCTGTTGGATATTTCTTGCTAATGAGACAATATCCGAATTCCTTAGCTTGAAATCTGAGGCTATTTTATACTTCAACCCTAGCCTGACTTTTCAGCTTCATTGCCTGTGATTATCCAATCAACAGTATCTCTGCTGTAATAAAATCTATTCCCTTATGACACCAGATATTTTAAGAATCGTATATCTTTGTGCACCCTGTTTGCTCCTCTCTTACCTCCTTTTTTATAACATGCTCATAATTATGTCCCCAAAGGTGGTCATGGTTCTAGCTGCCAGGTGAATACAGCACCTGCTGCCTGGATTAACCCTTTCCCATCTTCCCTACCAAGCTAATTCCTCTGTGATCTGGAAGACTCAGCACAAATACCTCTTCCAGGAAACCTTCCTAGCCAACCACTCTTCCCATTACTACTTCCAGAATGAGTCTCTTCTGAGTGCAATAGCATCGTAGGCACATACCCACCATATGCTCATTGCATTCTGCCATATTCTTTATTTACTTACTTGCCTCCCCCACAGAATCCTGAGATTTTTGTGAAATGAGACTTTATCTCTTGATCTCAAAGTCTACACCTAGCACAGTGCCAGAATGAAGGGATGAAAATGTATCACGGACTATCCTAGGCACTGTAAATGTAAGAGTAATGGGAAATATTGTCTCTGCCACTGAGAAACTCCACAATCTCGATAGGAAAAAGGATGCATGTGCTGGTAGCTATAGCAGAATGTGAACAGGCTAGGATAGAGTTTGCATGAACTGAACATTTGTGTATCCCCCATTCATATGCTGAAACTCTAACCTGCAATGTGATAGTATTTGGAGGTGGGGCCTTTGGGAGGTGATGAGGTTTTGATGAGATCTAGATGAGGGTGGCATTTATATGGGATTAAAGTCCTTATAAGAAGAAGAGACTAAAGCTCTCACTCTCAGCCATGTGAGGAAATGCAAGAAGGCAACTGTCTGCAAACCAGGAAGCAGCGTGTTACCAGAGACCAAGTCTGCCAGCATCTTGATCCTGCACTTCCAGCCTTCAGAACTGTGAGAAATAAATGTTTGTTGTTTAAGCCATCCAATCCATGGCATTTTATTGTAGCAGCCTGAACATACTAAGACAGACATATTGAACAAAATGGTAGAAGTCCAAAGGGAAAAGGTAGAGCAAGAGTGACCTGGGAAGCCCTCTGATATGGTCTGACTGTGTCCCACCCAAATCTCATCTTGAATTATAGCTCCCATAATCCCCACATGTTGCGCGAGGCACCCAGTGGGAGATCACTGTATCATGGGGGCGGTCTCCCCCATACTGTTCTCATGGAAGTGAATAAGTCTCACAAAATCTGATGATTTTATAAGCGGTCTCCCCTTTCACTTGGCTCTCATTCTTCTCTTATCTGCCACCATGTGAGACGTGGCTTTCACCTTCCACCATGATTGTGAGGCCTCCCTACCCACGTGGGACTGTAAGTCCATTAAACCTCTTTCTTTGGTAAATTGCCCAGTCTCGGGTATGTCTTTATCAGCAGTGTGAAAACAGACTAACACTCCCTCCAAGGATAAATGTGGTTTGGGCAGCTTTGGGGGAATATAGCAGAGAGGCTCCCAGCTCTCTCTCTGTTTGCCGTAGATGTGCCACATTCCCTGAGGGGAGAGGCAAGCAAGTAAGTGTCCTGGTAAAATTTGCCCAGGCAGACCAAAAACCCCATGCCTTATTGAGAGTGATAATTCAAATTAAATTTAATTATTTGACTAAGAAGTGGTATCCGTGCAAATAGATTCGCAATAAGGACTGGGCTGAAATACTAAAACATCTCCAGGACTACTTCTTAATTTAAAGAATCTCAGGGTATCACAGATACTATATTTATAAGGAGGCTGACGTTGGCTGGATAAGAAAAAAAGATGGATGAAGTGTAATATGACTCTCAGTTTCCTGAAGAAGACACAACACTGCAAAGTTGGTATAACCTTGAGGATGAGTCAGAGTGGAGAGAAGAGTAGACAGAAGAGGTTTGGGGTTGGTCGGTTCACTTTATCCTTTCCTGTGATTTGTGAAGGAGGGGTTGGACATTATGGACTAAATGTTTGTGTTCCCTCAAAATTCATATGTTGAAATCCTAACCTCCAATATGGTGGTATTAGGAGGTGGAGCCTTTGGGAGGTGATTCAGTTATAAGTACAGCCCCCAAGAATGGGATTAGTGCCCTTATAAAAGGGACCACAGAGATCTCTCTCACCCTCTTTTCATAGTGTGAGAATACAGTGAAAAGTCGGCCATCTGCAGCCAAGAAGAGGGTCCTCACCAGAACCTGACCATGCTGGCAACCTCATCTCAGACTTCCAGCCTCCGGAACTGTGAGAAATAAATGTCTGTTGTTTATAAGCAATAATGATTTGTTATAGCAGTCTGAACTAAGACAAGAAGTAACATTTAAATATTTTGTTACAAGATTTTAAAGTGCATGTTTTTCATAATGATAAAAACACTACAAAGATGCAGAAAGAAAAAGTTCAACATCTTTCCACTCCCCTTTCTGTCACCTTCCCTGCAAGCCAACAGAAGGCTTTGAATGCTTCCATACCTTTCCCTTGCTCACATTTATGCATACATGCCTTTGTGTTTACTTTTGCCAAAGCAGAAGCATACCATTCCTATCACCCTTCAATTTGCTTTTGTTGCTTATTTGTCATGACCATCTTACAAGTCAGCACATGCATCTCTAACTGTATGCTTTTTTCCTGATATCTTTAATATACTTAAAATTTTATACAGTTGGTACACTTACAGATATTTTTGATGCAGTCCTTTCTTTCCTTGGGTATACCCTCCCTTTCTTTCTTTCTCTACCACCCCATCAAGGTTTAACTTTTTATTGATGTATTTCATTGAAGATTATTAATAGAACACATCACATGAATAATTTTTCTCTTTCTTATATGTGGAGAATGTATCACTTTTGATTTGGGTTAAGATACAACTTTAAGTGTTTAGGAGCCAAGGAAGAGGAAAGGATTAAGTAATGACCATACATTATTCTGGAGATCTTTATTGAATGCGGTAAGGTTTATTGGATCTTGAGTTTTATTCCTTCAAAGGCATTCTTCACAGAATGCTAAGCAAGATAAACTCTCAATATACCTGTCAACCCCAAATTCTATGATTTATGATATCAATAACCTTTTTTATCTTAAGCATTAGGCTCACGTTTGAGCCTGATTTACAATCGCCACTAGAGGGAGATCACATCACAAACGTGAGGATATTTTAAGGCGGCAGAACTGTGTTTCTGATGTAAGTTTGATGTAGTACCCAGTACAGTGTCCTGAACACAGATGAGGTCTAATAAAGATCTGTCAAAAATAAAAATAAAAAACATCCTGATGGAATCTCAATGGTATTCCACCTCTAAAAGTCTGAAACAAGATTCATTCAATTCGACCTAACGATGGGATTGTTAACTCAATGGTGTTATATCCTTATGATGTGATATTCTGAAGTTACTAGAAATCATGTATTAAATGATGGTCATTTACATGAAAAATATGACTTTTCTACATCTAGCAGCATATATAATCATGTTCAAAAATTCATCTTTGCCTCAAACTCTAAATGCCTCTTTAATATTATTATTTTTAATAGTTTGATATTATTTTAAGGTGAACATCCTTATAACTACCTCCCAGGTCAGGAAACTGAACTCAGGCAGATACTGCAGAAACCTTCCATATATCTCATCTTATCTCAACCGTCTCATTTTCCCACAAAGTAACTAGTGAGTTTTATCGTTATCACTTCCTTGTTCTTCTTTACGTTTTTTTTGTTGCTATTGTCGTTGTTTTGTTTTTTTTGTTTTGTTTTGTTTTTCTTTTGAGATGGAGTCTCGCAGTATTGTCCAGGCTGGAGTGCAGTGGCACAATCTTGGCTCGCTGTAAGCTCCACCTCCCAGGTTCGTGCCATTCTCCCACCTCAGCCTCCCAAGTAGCTGGGACTACAGGTGCCCGCCACCACACCCGGCTAATTTTTTTGTATTTTTAGTACAGACGGGGTTTCACTGTGTTAGCCAGCATGGTCTCGATCTCCTGACTCGGCCTCCCAAAGTGCCGAGATTACAGGCGTGAGCCACCACGCCCGGCCTTCTTTATAATTTTATTACCTAAGTGTGTACCACCCCTGGATATTGTAATTGAGGCTTGCCCATTTTTTGAAACTTGTCCTGTCTTTTAAGTCTCTGATAGTCTTTGGTTTCCTCCTCCATTCCTTTGATTTTTCTTTATAATTTGACTATGGAAGAACCCAGACATTTGACTTGTAAGCTATATAACAGCTTCTGAATCTTGCTTATCACACACTCCTGGTGAAGTTAAACATGTTCCCCATCCTCTCTATTTCTGAACCGTGGCAGCTGAATCAACAGGAATGGACTGGGCTTCATTCCACTGGCAAGACTAGAGGTGGCTGAGTTCTTCTTTCACCAGAAGCCACATCATTCTGATTTCCCTCTTTTTGTGATGTTAGCAGCTGTAGATGCTCCATGTCTTCATTCATTAATTTAATGTGTTACCAAATGGTAATATTCTATTCAATCTTTTTTTCACTTATTAGAAAATGCACATGGAGATGCTTTTGTAAATACATCATTCCTCTCCTCTACTATTTGCTCCTAATCTGTAACCGTTACGGTGATTGGCTTCTTTACCACATGACTACACCATTTATTCCTACCAGCTGAAGCTTGCAAAGAGAGAGCAGGAAATTGCTAGATCCTTAGGGAATTATTCAAAAAGCAAACCTGTTCATTTCTTCCTTGGTGTTGAGTAAGGGGGGAAAATGCACGAGTAGGCACAGAACTAAAGGTTGATGAACACTATGGGAGGCTTGAGAGAGGGCCTGGAACATGACAGCCATGCCTGGATTTCACAGCCATGGTCAGCATGGGCTCAGGGAGGCAGGAGAGACATGCCCAGGAGTCACTTTTGCAGGTTCTCCCCATTGTCTGGATTGCATAACGGAGAAATGATGAATTAGTCCCTCCATACCAGAATGAGGGGAATAGCATTCCTTCTCCTACCCTCAAAGGCAAGGACACTCTGTTATTTTGCCTCCCAACATGGCACAGAAATGTTAAAGATGCTGGGTTGTGACTGGACATAGCAACACAGGCTGCTAAAAGCTATTTCTTGAAAAAACTACGTATCATCAGAAATGCGGTTTTTAGGCTTTTATAAAAAGCTGTAGGCACTTCTGTGAATTTAAAATAAGCTTCTCCACTGAAAAATGCACATGGGAATACACAAACCTTTTCATATTCTATTTCAGAGTTCTCACATACTCCTGCAGCCCAGTCATAAATAGGCACTAGAGCAATACATTCTCAACCTTGGCTGTACATTGAAGGCATCTGCAGAATTAAAAAATACTGATGACTGGGTCCCACCCAGTATATCTTTAGGGACCATTAGAAAAATCACATAATATTTTATGGGATGGCAATAAACAGAGTCTTCAAGGACAAGAATCCTGGTAACTCCATTGAGAAGCTGTCTCCACCAGAGTATCTACTACATTCTCCAAACTCACGTTTTCCTTTGGTATCGAGCAGACTAAGAAAGTACTGTTCAGTTGTGCCTCAGAAGCTGAGTAATGCTAGTCTGTGATAGTGGTAAACATCTTCAAGTAATAAATCATATTTTCAAGTGTATGAAGGATTTTCTGAGATGCCACTTGTTTGTCTTTACAGAGACCTAAGTACGCATATATCATCTTGAAGTTCTTTGAAAGATCAGGAATAACATTTTGACTTTCAACTGCAAGTTAGGCACATATGCCATTTTTAATTACACAGGAGTAATGAGAGCGAGTGGCTAGCCTAGTGCCTTTCACTCAGAAGAGAGAGTGTGCAAAACATTTGCTGAATATATGTGGAGAGAAGTTGGCAAGAATATACATGGTGAATGAGGAAGCTGTGAGACAGTGAGGCACTAGGGAAAATGAGTGTATTTAATGAGCTTAAAGAGAATAACAATGTAGAATACATGAGTGGGAAGATGACGATATGTTCTCCCACATTGAAAAGTGACTTCCAGGAAACTAGAAGCCTGTGTCCTTTCTCCACCACTAGAAAGCCTACCACCCATCCCGATACCTGGAACATCATGTACACACTACAAATATTGGTCAGGTCTATGAGTTAAGAGTTACCCAGTTGCCTTTCCTACAACTTATTCTTTTGACAGGAGACAACATAGTTTTGAATATTCAAAATTTGAAATATTTCAAATATAGAGAAAATAGGATAACACACACCCAGTTACTTCTTACCCAAATTTGACACAGGCTAACATTGCCTCTTCTGCATTTTTGAGTCTAATAGTAAGTGTCATTCCATGTCAAACAACCCCCAAAACTTTAATAATAAACACATGTCTTTGAGATGACGCTGTCACTATTCAAATTGAAGGAGAAGTAAAGAAATCGCTCTGAAAATGTTCCACGGCAGATTGAGAGATGAGCAAAATGAAACAATGGAAACAGTGGCCCAAATAAGTTATACGTGTATACACACACACACACACACACACATATGCGTATCTATAGGTATGTTCTATTTAAATCAGTTTCTATTTACATCAGTTTAGAGGAAGTAAAATGGCAGCTTGAGTGTGTCGACTTTGTGGTTTGACTAATATCTACTGTTCTCTTATATGGGAAATGGAGGAGGGGTGGGCATGTGCTTCCAGGCAGAGTTATTAAATGCCACAGTCAGTCCTGTCAGTCTGGGTTTTTAATTAACTGCCTGCCTACATCCTCTTCCCAGCCTCCTTTTTTCACTCCCTTGAGACTCCGTAACAGTTACAGAGGTACTCACTATAAGCTCTACAGTGACCCAGAAAGGTCACGAGGTAAAATTAGGACCGCAAAACTGTACCAAATGCAAGGACTGAGCCTTTCAGCATCCCAGCTTCCAAGGGCCTTGGACTGAGAGGACATATGTTAAGAAGTAATGCCCTGGCTGGGCATGGTGGCTCACTCCTGTAGGGCCAGTAGATCACTTGAGGTCAGGAGTTTGAGACCTGGCTGGCTAACATGTTGAAACTCCATCTCTACCAATAAATAAATAAATAAATAAATAGATAAATAAATAAATAAATAAATTAGCTGGGCATGGTGGTGTGGGCCTCTAATCCCAGCTACTCGGGAGGCTGAGGCAGGAGAATTGCTTGAACCTGGGATGCGGAGGTTTCAGTGAGCCAACATCACACCACAGCATTCCAGCCTGGGTGATAGAGCCAGACTCTGCCACAGGAAAAAAAAAAAAAAAGAAGAAGAAGGAATACCCTCTTGCCAACTGAAAGCTGACTGACCTGCTTCTAAATTTCTAATCCCAACCTGAAAACACAGCCAAAAGTCCATTAGAAAATGTAAAAGAAGTGAGTATAATATGAAAACAGAGCCCAGTAGTCAGAAATCATTACTAGAAATCAGTTGCTGGGGATTTTCTGATTCAATTTCCCAGGAGAGTCCCTAGGGTGCTCTTTCACTTCCGCCCATTCTGTCTTCCCCAAATAACTCCTCCTCCTGAAAGTCATTTTAGAGCCACCTGTTTACACCATTTGGAGCTGTTACACTGTCACCGAAACAAATTAGCATAATGGTTCCAAAACCATTATAGGTCATCAGAGTTCCTGGAAAAGCGAGAATAAATTTCATTAAAAGAACTGACTGTCTGTAATCTGAGCACTTTGGGAGGCCCAGGCAGATGGATCACTGAGGGTGTTGAGCAACTGTAATTCCAGCTACTCTGGAGGCTGAGGCAGAAGAATCACTTGAACCCAGAAGGCGGAGGTTGCAGTGAGCCAAGATGGCGCCACTGCATGCACTCTAGCATGGGCGACAGAGTGGGACTGTGTCTCAAATAAAAAGAACAGACTGCCAAAATTGTATGTGGCTATTTCTATGAACTTCATATTTGCTTCTTTGTTACAGTTTCCATTTTTGAAGCTGTGCTTTAGAAAGGAAGAAAGATAGCATCTGCCTACAGATGGAGCCAAGAAAATAATTCAGAGAAATAATACTGAGTTGAAAGTAATGGTAATGATATTAAGCAATGCGAATTTACAGTCATTCACAATGACACATTTGTTTCTGATTGAAGTTAATTAAGACCATTTGGTTTCTTTTCTGCTACCACATGCAACCTTTTAAAAAGAAAAAGAAAACAGGTACACTTTTTTAGCGGGATTCCAGACTTCGATATTTGAATGTCAATGCAGAAGAAAACTGCTGAGTGCATCCCCTGATGTGGTGATTGCATTTGTCAGCTGTTGTACTTACTACAGTTATTCAGACTGTTGTTCGGGTCACAGAGAGAGCTACCACCACACGAATCAATGCAGGCAATGTAGAGGCATCTTCGGTCTCCTTCTTGACATGGAGTCTGACCTACCGAGGGAGGAAAAGGCACATTGGCTTTCATCATCTGCAAATTCCTTACCTAAGGATCTAAAGGATCAGGAATGTCTGGTGGAATTGAGGAATAACACAACTTTAATTTCCTTCCAATTTCTCCAAAAGTATTGAACATAGGTTGAATAGGTGCTTTCTGGTAACTAAATACAATCCAGGTGTTCCAAAATAGGAATGAAGAAATAAGAGACAAATTACACTACAAACAGGTTGTTGCATTTAATGGAAAAAAAAATAGTGCTTTCGTTTTACATGGGTGCCAACACTTGATTACAAAATAAAATTCAAGAGATTTGAGGGAGGGAGAACGTTATAAAAATGTTGAAATTCTGAATATTAATTGACATTTGTTTAAGACTCATTTGCTCCCAATTCTAGTCTCCCTCTAAGTAAAATGCTTTCTCTAGTAGTAAGTAGGGCATCAACACCAATACAATAAGGATAATTTATCATAATACAAGTGTTATGCAGCTGTTACCCATATTTTCAATATGTCCTTGGAAAGTGTCATCAGCCTAGCTGTGATGACTTGAGAACTGAGTTTCTTGTTTCTAAGTGAATGACAGCAGTAATATCAATGTTTGCCCTAATGATTTTTCCTTAAGGGAGGTAGAGAGGAAACTGCTTTTCCCATTGATTTCCTGGTCATTTGTAGATTAAATGGGTAAGGTAATAAATTACTGTCCATTCTGTCTCTCCCCCATTATGATCAATTACCTTCAGGCATGTCATCTGGAATCTAGACAACCTTGCAAGGCACTTTTAAGTATAAATAATAGTATATGTGTACATATAATCATTCTTATCTATAATTCTAAGACAATGTTTATTACACTGGAATATTTATCCTTTCCAGTACCACTAGTATGCAAAATAATATACCACAGCCTTGCAGAAAAGAGATGTCACTCTTTTTTTAATGTCATCAGGGTCAAAATTTTTTCTCAAAGCAAATCTAAACAATTTCTGTAAATTTAGGCTCTTAAGGAGATTTTATTGACATCATGCATTCATTATTTTGGCAAATATTAAGTGCCTGCCATGTGACAATCTATGTGACCAGCTAGGCACTAAGCATTAAAAGACAAAATGGCATGATACCTCCTTGGAAGTGACTTGTGCTCTGATAAGAGGTATGATCCTGAACAAAACCTTCTGATGCTATGTGATCACTGCTTTATGAAAGACATATTTATTTTTATTTATTTATTTTTTTCATAGAGATGGGGGTCTCGTTATATTGCCCAGGCTAGCCTCAAACTCCTGGTCTCAAGTAATTCTCCTGCCTCGGCCACCCAAAGTGTTGGGATTATAGGCATGTGCTACCACACCCAGCTAAAATACATTTAAAGAGAAATAGAAGTCAATGAGACCAGTGTGGGGAAGTTTCTCAAAGGACTTTTCCAAGTCATGATAAGAGGAAAAGATGGGTTTCCCAAACTGAGAAACAGCACATGCAAAAGGCCTAGAATAGGGAGGTGCACAGGTCAAAGTAACTGGAACTTCAACCACTGAGAAAGGGGGTGAGAGAGATGAGAAAGGTAGGCAGGGACAGAGCCTGAAGAGTTTCAAAGGCCTAACTCTTCAGCAGGACCCAAAGTTTCAGAAGAAGCAGCCCCTCCTTCCCTTCCCAGCCCTGTCTAGAGAACAAGCCTGCAACCCATGCTGACAATTACATAGATTTAGTACCAGGCCCCCTTTCGTTCTCAGCTCTCTAATCACAATAGTCTGCCTTCTCTCATGGTCCTCCTACACATGCCTAGCACCTTCCCACCTCAGGAATTTTGGTCAACCGGTGCCTTGTGTCTCAGTTGCTTTTTCAAGCCCCATTCCTCTTGGTTAACCCCACTCATCTTTCAGGTCTGAGCTCCTGGATCTCTTCCTCAGTGAATTTTTGTCTGAGGTGCTTTACCAGGGCATGCCCACTATTAATGGCATCCAAGCACCCTGAATTTCCCTTCTTAGCCTCTGTTGCTGCACGGCTAGACACTGACCTGCATAATAATTCGTAGCATGCCTATGTTCCCCAGGAGTCTGCAAGCCCCATCAGCTGTTCTGCTTGCCACTGAATTCCCAGGGGATGGCCACACATAAACACCACAATATACATTTTTTAAGTTGAATTAATTAAACAATATAAAGATACTAAAATTTTACTTTTAAATCTATTTTATCATATGACTTTCTTACATCTCACACATGCAAGGAAATAATCTACAAAGTCTGCCATTTCATCATGAAAAATCCAAAATTATTTCAGAGTTGAATTATACAGAAAGGAAGAAGAGTTTGATGCAAAGGGAAGGGCTCAGTTGATGTGCACACAATAAATTATGTTTAATAAAGGCATTCCTTCTAAATTTAAAAACTGGTAAAACAAACACTCTTTGTATATTATTTTTATGTAATAAGTCTGTGATTGAAAAGCTCTCCCTTCAGATCTTGGGCACTTTTCCATTAAAGTTATTCTAATGATCAATATGCATTATGACAAAACTAATTTACCTATAGGTGACCAGTCTCATTGGCTGATTATGAATATACACAGCACAAGATATGCTTTAATGTAATAGCCATGTAATAAAAGCTCACATATATTGAGTTTTCACCATGTGCCACCACTATGAAGTAGTTATCACTATTCTGAGTGTACAGACACACAAACCGAGACCTATACGGGTTGTAAGTGTCTTGCCAAAAATCACCATAGTAGACCGAGGCTTGATCCCGGGTATCAGGGCTGCAACAACCATGTACTTAACAACTAGGCTGTGCCTGTGTAGTATACACAAATGTGATTTTTGAGTCTAGGGATATTCTTACCCAGCCCCTACTGAGAAGCTTCCACACATATTAGAGCTTAAAACAATCTGTGTAGAACTTTCTTTTCTGACAGGCATAAATTACATTTAAAAAACAATTTATTGGACCTACTTTTTCTTTTTGAGATTCACACACAGATATCAAATCCTTTTAAAGTGTATTGCTTGGTAATAAGAGGCATTAAACTGCTTCTCTGAACATGATTATTTTAGGAAGCCATTGCACTTCCTTTCAGAAGCCAATTTCTTCTCACCGGAATCTAATCTGATTTAATTGGATGCTATACACTACTCTTCTCTCTTTATCACGGCTTTTCCCATAGAACAGTTAAGTGAATTTGACCATGCTGTCAGGTGTCTCACCTGAGGAATGATTTTCAGTGTAAGTTGCTTGAGAATTATGTTTAGCACAAGAAAGCATTTCCTGGCTGACTAGGCTGTGAGAACTAGTGTTAGGCAATCTGGGATTATTTACATGGGAATCCTACTTAAGCAATTTCAAATATTTTTCTTTGTTCCCAAGCAGAGGACCACGAGTAAAAGAACGTTCTGGGGTGGCGGGACACACTTACTGCCACTGCAGTTCTCCTCATCACTCCCATCCTTGCAGTCCTCGTCGCCGTCACATCGAAATGTGCTGGGGATACATTGTCCATTTCTGCACTCCACCAGACCCTGGCTGTGACAGGCTAGGAAGGGTCAGAACAATATTCACTTTATTTATTAATTCTTCTCTCTCAATCTGCACATCAAATAAACAATAGCCATTTATCAGGCATCGCTAAGAAACAGGGTGTTCTGCATACACAAATGAACATATCATTGATTTTATTTCTAGAATTTTTCCTGCCTCATTGAACAGCACTTACCAAAACTTAACTTTTTCTTGAAAACTGCATGATTGTTTTCAGTGATGGAAGTATCATGATCCTACTTACTAATAAAAACGACAATTTGTAAAGGGTTCATTATATGGCAAGAGCTGTGCTAACTGCACTGTGTATATAATCTCAAATTCTCACATAAATCTTGTAAAGTAGATATTATCATCTTCGTTTTACAGATGAGAAACTAAAGTTTACAGAGCATAGTACTTGCTCAAAGTCCCATGACTAAGAGCTACAGCCAGAATGTGCAGGCAAGCTTTTTGGACTCCCAGTCCAAATATTTCATTATTTATCTACTTAACCTCATAAGCCAACAAAATAGTATATGGGAAAGAACTCGCATAGTAACTAACACCTAATAAACACTTCAACACTTGTTTATGACAACTGATATTTGAAAGGGATGGCCTAATATCCATTAACCTTCCAATTCCTATGGGTTTTCTAAAGTCTATACCTATTGTCTTTTAGAGTATCACAAACCCGTGGATCATGTGACCTTAGCCTTCACTGACTTACTAATATTATGACCTCTCTTTTCTTGAGTCAAGGCTCCACACCAGAAGTGTTCTATCTGAGCACCACGTCCTTGCTTCTCCGAGATCTAGTGAGATACAGTCCACTCTGTTCCACTGTGTCCACTAAGCAACGACTCGGAGGACATTCCACTTCAAATCCATTTTAGGGAAGAGGAGAGCTACACATTGTGACTTTTTATATGACTTTTCTTATGTCAAAATAAAAAATATGTAATCCACATTTCTATTTTTGCCTCAAATTATAAGCCAATTAAATATTCAATCTTATATATAAAATCAACTTTCTTAACTTTTACTAGACACAAAAAGATGAAATGAAAAGTATAATTAAATATGCAAAAGAACATATCACATTAACTCTTTCAGGTCAACTGCATTCTCTCTTAACACCTGACAGCTTCTATTCAATCGTGTATATTATTCTCTAATGGGTATAGTATATTTTCTAGGGGGAAAAAGTGTTAATAACCTTACTTGTTATTAGTTTGAAGTATAACAACTGTCTGAAGATTTTCATTCACTAAGAAACACAACAGTCTATAAATTTATATTATCACTACGTTCTCTCTCTGTCTCTTTTTTTTTTTTTTTTTTAAGATGGAGTTTCACTCTGTCACCCAGGCTGGAGGGCAATGGCTTGATCTTGGCTCACTGTAATCTACACCTCCCTGGTTCAAGCGATTCTCCTGCCTCAGCCTCCTGAGTAGCTGGGACTACAGGCACCTGCCACCACACCCAGCTAATTTTTGTATTTTTAGTAGAGACTGTTGGCCAGGTTGGTCTTGAACTCCTGACCTCAGGTGATTCACCCACCTCTGCCTCCCAAAGTGCTGAGACTACAGGCATGAGCCACCATGCCCGGCCTATTATACTCTCTCTGTGTATCATCATATGAACATTAAAGTCTCTCTTCTCTCTGGTGATTCTTTCCATGTTCTTCCACAAAAGGCCCCTGAGAACATGTTAGGGCACTCCTGCAGGGAAGCTTAACTACTCATATATTGTGTGCAGAAGAAAGGTCCCCCATTCTGTGGGCAGAGCATCACCTTTGACAAAGTCACAGAAGCACAAAAGAGACATATGGAGCAATGAGAGAGAAAACAGACACCCACTTGGCTAGATCAGCCAAATGAAGCTTGGAGTTTTGTGGGGAGAGGTGTGGAAGTCAGATACACTCCATTGCTATTGTCATCCCACCACTCGGTGATCTTTACAGGCAAAACCAAAGTATAAGAATCTTTCCCTTGGAATGCTGTGTATATAGTGAGTCTTAAGTACAGTCCTCAACCTTGAGTACAGCCTAGAGAACCAGAAATGGAAAAATAAGCAAAACAAACGTCCTCAGAGCACTCACAGCAGTTGACCTCGTCGGACTTATCCACACAGTCGTGGTCACCATCACACACCCACTCCGTGGCAATGCAACGCCCGTCCCCGCAGCGATGCTCTGTTGTGGGATTGCAATCTGGAGAAATGAAAACTCACGAGGATGCAGAGAACCAGCGTGATAAACAGGCAGGATTGTATGGCTCCCGGTTCCCATTGAAGAGAGTCTGTTCCAATGGCTCCAATACCTTCAATAACATTTCTACAATAGGTCTGGCCCAATTAAAATTCCACGCCATCCCCACGCATATGCCCCACTGACCACCATCACCGTGGGGTAAGATGGGTCTGCTTTTCAGATGAGTAACACTACTCTAGCTGTCCCAGGACCCATAGTTTGTTCTTATTATTGTTGGCTTTTGTTTTCTTTAGTTGTCATTTTCTTTCCTTATGAAAAATTCATGATTTCTACCTTGGTTCAAAAAGCAGAACTGTGATTTGTGTTTCACAATGCAGCTAGCGGATTTCATGTATATGTAACAGATCTCTCACGTTTCTAGGAATTATAACTTACCTGTCTGGTAAATTGGGAAGGCAGGTATCTCCTTGTCATCTCTCCTGATGCTAAGCTTAAGTTTTTAATTGATTATCTTTTTTTTGAGACAGGGTCTCTCTCTGTCTCCCAGGCTGGAATGCAGTGGTATGATCATAGCTCACTGCAGCCTCGACTTCCTCGGATCAGGTGATCCTCCCATCCCAGCCTCCCATGTAGTTGGGACTACAAGGACATGCCAGCATGCCTGGCCTTATATCCAAAAGAACTGCTAAGTAAGCCATGCAAAATATTTATGTTATATTCATGATTCTTTTTAGCCTGGACTTCAACTTTATATATTAGTGAAAAAGAACTAAGTGATAAGTTCCCTCTCACAAAGGGCAGAATCCATAGGATGCTTTGCCATGAGAGGTGGTATACCCTGAATATAAGCAGAGTTTTAGAAGATGTATGTGGATTCACGAATAATAGATTCCATGAGAAAGTATGATAAGTCTAGTAACAGTGCCATGGTCATAGACAGACTTCTGGAGTGACCATGGATCTTAAAGGGTATTTTGGATCAATAGAGGAAAGTATAGGGAGGACATAAGTTTGAGAAAAGAAGAAAAGCACAAGAGGTGCTTGGGCAGGAACCAGAAGAGCAGAGGGAGCCAGGGCAGAGGCCCGTCTGAAGGAAAGCGATAATTATTGCTGTTAGATGGAGACAACCGGCATCCGAACACACAAACTTCACGACAGCCTGCTATCTTCAGAGGAATTATGTTGCCTGTTAATACCATTTTTTCTCACATGCTACCTGCAAGTTGGCCCTCTCCACTAACCTATCCAACTACCAAACGACACTCACTCATTTTCAACCCCCTGCATTTTCCTAATTATCTCACTGGTAAAGGGAAGGGTTGAATCTGATGATCTCTAAGGCCTCCTGCAAGTGTAATTTCTGTGATCTATATAATTACAATTTCCTCTCATCCTTTGTCTCAAGGCTAGTTAGTCCCAGGATATATCCCACATCTGAATGTAAATTAGTACAGTCATTATGGAAAACAGTATGGAGGTTCTTGAGAAAACTACAAATAGAACTTCCATATGACCGAGCAATCCCACTCCTGGGCATATACCCAAAGGAAAGGAAATCAGTATATCAAACAGACACCTGCAACCCCATGTTCATTGCAGCACTACTCACAATAACCATGATATGGAATCAATTTGTGCCATCAAAAAATGAGTGGAGAAGAAAATATGGTACATCTACACAATGGAATACTATTCAGCCATGGCAAAAGAATAAAATCCTGTTATTTGTAGCAACATGGATGAGCCTGGAGGACATTATGTTAAGTGAAATAAGTCAGGCATAGAAACAGAAATACCGTGTGCCCTCACTCATATGCAGAGTTGATCTCATAGAAATAGAGAGTAGAACAGTGGTTACTAGAGGCCATAAGGGTATGGAGGAGGAGGGGTAAAGAGAGATTGCCGCCAGGTGCGGTGGCTCATGTCTGTAATCCCAGCACTTTGGGAGGCCAAGGCAAGCGAATCACGAGCTCAGGAGTTAGAGACCAGCCTGACCAACATGATGAAACCCATTCTCTACTAAAAATACAAAAATTAGCCGGGCGTGGTGGCACGCACATGTCGTCCCAGCTATTCAGGAGGCTGAGGCAGCAGAATCACTTGAACCCAGGAGGCGGAGGTTGCAGTGAGCCGAGATAGCACCGCTGCACTCCAGTCTGGGTGATGGAGCAAGACTCCATCGCAAAAAGAGAGAGACTGCTTAACTGACACAAAATTACAGCTAGATAGGAGGAACAGGTTGTAGGTTTTTATAGCACTAGATGGTGACTATAGTTAATGAAAATTTATTGCATATTTTCAAATAGCTAAATGAGAAGATTTTGAATGCTCCTAACACAAAGAAATGATAAATGTTTGAGGTGATGGATGTACTAATTACCCTGATATGATCATTACATATTGTATACATGTATTAAAATATCATGCTGTATTCAATAAATACGTACTATTATTAGTCAAAATAAAATAAAAATAAAATATTATCAGAAAAAAACAATAATCCACATCTATCTAGTCACACAGGAATGGTTTGTACACACACGTTTTAAAATATTTTTACAGATACAGCAAGTGGCCACGAGATGGTGCCCCTAGAAACCACTAGGTTTCCCAGAACCGGGTTATTCCTAACAGTCATGATTCTAATGCCTTCCTCTGACCACATCCCTGATCCTTTCCAAACATTCATTTTGATGTTTTCTAATGCTGAACATTGTCTCATATCATTTGTCCAGGGTGTATCCTCATCCCCGTTTGCCCTTTTGTTCATGCTGCAAAGTTCCTGCGTCACTCAATAATATGCTACCTAAAAATTCTGAACCTAGTCACAAAGCCAAAAAGGTAAATGAGCAAGAGGAATTTTGCTGATTTTAATTCATGAGATGGCATTCAGAATTGAATATGACTCTTTTAAAAGTGAGTTTATTCTTTAAAAGGTAAGATCAGCATGTGTACACAAAACCAATGCATCATCCTAATGCTGGGTAGCTGCTGCATAGGTAGTCCTTGTACTATTTGGGGATTAAATAGAGGAGGGGACTTCGGTCACATGTACTAAGGGAATCAGGCACAGACAATATATCTACCCTCAAAGTTTGCTCAAAAGGCCAAACTCTAACATAAGCCACTGGCTCTAACCAGAGGAGAAACAGAACACATTTGAGGAGAGGAAAAAAACTATTAATGCATTAACAACCTTTACCAGTCTTCCCATTCCACTTCTTAAACATTTTCTTAATATGATTATTTATGTATTACATTTACATGTAAGACATTACTGAGGACAGTGATTGAACAAACTTCTTCCTTCTAAAACACAAGAAACCAATCATTTTGTAATTTTAACTGCTAATCATATTAACACATAATGAACTATAAGTTTCTGGTTATAAATTTCTGTGATTTTTAAATTAAAACCTTTGGGGAAACAATGCTACTTACCACAGTTTTGCTCATCGCTCAAATCCCCACAGTCATCATATCCATCACACACAAGGCTGTAATTAAGGCACTTGCCTGTGTGACAGTGAAACAGATTCTCACTGCAGTCTGCAAATAAAAGAAGCCACCAATGTGTCATCAGAGCCATATAGAATGCTACTGTAGTACAATATTTAACAAAAGCCAGTCATGGAAGGGACACCCTAATGGTAACCTGGCCCATACCTATTGTTTAATAGGTGAGAAGGTGGCAGACAGAGATACAACAATCTGTTCAAGGCCATTTAAACAAGTGGCTCCCAAGCCAAGTGATTGTATCACTTTCTGATGTGTTTCTCTGACTTCCATTTTATGTCACCTGAATGATCCTTAATTGTTAAAGATGAGAAAAGGCATTCTGAATTCACCATCATTCCTAATGAAGTTCCTGTTCATGTAGAATAGACTTTAGTAACTCTTATGTTTTCTTTAGAGTTGAAAGTCTAGGTTTGTCAGTAGTAAGCATAAACATAACAAATAAAATAAGTCATTTAGATTATAGAGTTGTTATTTCCTTTCACATAAACATTACTGCTTAAGCCTATTGAGTGTTTCATAATGTAATCCTCAAATAAACAAGTACCGTCCAAAGACAACGGTGGCAAGATGAGAAGCGCTATGTAATCTCAGGACGCTCATAGTTTAATGTTGAAATGAACAACGTTCAGGGAAAATGGTTTCCTGATTTTAATAAGAAAACAGTCTTGTCCTTCAGTAAACCAGAACTCCTATCCTGGTTCTGCCATCTACTAGCTGTGGGACTTTTAGCGTGTTATTGTTAATTCAAGTCTAGGAGTCTGTGAACTGATCTATGAAACTGGGACAAAATCAGCCACTTAACAGGGTTTGAAAGAGGAGAGTTTAATGAAATAGTGTGCATAAGGCAATTCGATGGAAAGAGAATGTTCTTTTCAAAAAATGGTATTGGGATAATACTAGAAAAATATTTACAAATTATATATATATATGATAAAGAAATTTGGATATCAGGAGTCTCTAAAGAACTCTTACATTCAATAATAAGATGAAAAATAATTCAATTACAAATGGTCAAAAGACTTGAATAGAAAGTCTTCATGAAAGACATAAAAACACATGAAAAGGTGCTTAACATTATTAGTCATTAAGCAAAGGCAGTGGGGGGTGAGAGGGCAGGGCAAAACAAAAGAAAAAAAAATAAGCTAAGGCAAATTAAAACTACAAGAAGATATAACTACACATTCCTTAAAATGGCTACAATGGAAAAGATGGATAATAGCAAGCATTGGCAAGGATTTTGAGAAAATGAATCTCATGGATCTCTGGTGAGACTATAAAATAATAATGCCACCTTGGAAAACTGGCAGTTTCTAATGAAGGTAACTGCAACCTTACCATACAATTAATTTGTGAATTCCACTCTTAGGAATCTACCCAAGATAAATTAAATATATATCCACACAAAGATTTATATATAGATGTTCATAGCAGCATTATTCATAAGCCAAAAACTGGAAAAAAATCCAAGTACTCTCTAACTGGAATGGACAAACAAAATGTAATATGCAGTGAAATACTACTCAGTGATTAAAAGGATGAAACTACCAATATATGTGACAGTATGGATGAACCCCAAAAAGTTATGCTATGTGAAAGAAATCAGATACAAAAATTACATATTATATGACTCGTTTATGGAATTCCCAGAAAAAAACAAATTTATATAAACAGAAGTCTGAGAAGCAGTTACAGTAGCTGAGGGATTAGACTTGATTCCACTACAAATGTGTGAGAGAGAAATTTTGTGAGAGATGCACACATTCTAGACTGTATTGTGAGGTTGGTCGCATAACTCTATAAGTTTACAAAAATCAATAGATGAAATTTATAAGATGTAAATTATACCTCAGTAAAGCTGTAAAAATGTTTAAAATCAATATATGTAAAGAAATCTGCATTTCACAGAAACTAGATTTCTTAAATATATTTTTATTTCCCTTATTTAAAGTAAATTAAGTACAAAACAGCTTGCTTAAGGCTGGAGAAGGAATACAGAAAATGGGCAGAATTTCAGCAGGGTGGATATAATGAAAAGTTTAGCATACTTCAAGCAGAGAAAATAGCAAAAACAAAGGAAAGAGGAAAAAAACAAAAATTTGAAGATCAGTCTACTTGGCTGATGAAGGCCAGAAATCAAGTAGTCAATGGTTCAATCTCCTGAATTCCAGCTGATTGTTTCTCCTCAAGCCGAAGCCTGTATCTCATACAACCAGTAGCAGCCACCACTTTACTGTAAACATCTTACACTAGATGACGATTCATTATGCAAAGCCTTTGGCACTGATCAGTTAAAACATTAGGTATGCCAAAATATGACACTTACATATACATGAATCATAAACTTCTGTTTCAAAAAGGCACTCTTCAAAAAAAAAACTTCTTAAAGTTTTTAGAATCACACCATTTTAGGAATGGAATGGGCCTTAGAAATCACCTGTTCAGTGTCTTCATTTGGAAGGTGTGTATGTGCACAGACACACACACGCATATATACATATAAGTCCACACTTCTACGCATACAGAACTTTGTAAGTACTTTTTATTTTTCACTTCCCCCAGCCTGAATAATTTTCAAATAAGGACAGCCACCATAAGGGAAAATATAGGAACTAAAAATTTGACAATGGTATTTTATCCCATTCAGCAGAGGGCGCTATTTCCCCACCCTGAACCCCGCTGCTGAATGAGGCTACCACACATGTGACAGCTGAGTGGAAAGGTTATGACATTGGTTCTCCTGCCCACAGGACAGACCTGGGGAATTTGTGCATCAAGATATATACGTTACTTTGTGAAATTCTAAAAGATCTTTTTTATTTTTTTTGTCTTAATCTAAATTACCCTTGTGGGAAGTTTTGAGTCAACATGCTAGAATCAGCAATAGCCAGGGAAATAAGGCTTCTCAACTTGACCATCAGTGCAAAGTACATGCATGCATTCGCCCAGAGGATGGGGAACAGCATTTCAGCACATTTTAAACCCTACAAGTTAACTTATTTGTAAGCAGTACACTCACTTTTTCTGATGGCAGGACAACTGGGGAATGAAATATCCCTTTCAGAATCTGATTAACCTAAGAACACATCAAAAATTCCAAAAGTTTCTTTGTCTTCTATGAGACCCATTCTAGGACCCCTGGTAATTCATACTAAAACACTGCATTAGAGATATTTTAAAAATTGATGTCCTTATTTATTAAATTACTTCATAAATGGAGAGGACTCAGGCATTTTTTAAAATCCTCATCGTTCTCCCTGGTGCGGATTCAATTTTCTACTGTTATAACTTGCTTGATTAGAAACCATTTTTAGAAGTGAGATACAAAATGAGCTGCATCTAGAAAACAATCCGTAATCTGTTACTTCCCTAAGGTCTGTGTGATTAGTAAACACGCAAAACCTTAACCAGAGGCACTGCAAAGCCAGAAATACATAGCAAATAGCAAAGATCACAGTGTCTCCTTTTATTGAAATAAATGTTTATTTGATCTGGAAAGAGGTGTTGTCAGCACAATTTGGGGCCAGCAAATCAAAATTTGCAAAAGTGTTTGCTGTGATTTTCTTGCTCAATAACAAGCATAATTTTGCATGACCTAAGGTAGATGTTTTTCTAGATACAGCTTTTTTTTTCTTAAGGAGAGCTTGATACAAAATGTTTCTTCTGAAATTCGTGCATGTTAATATTGACTTCAGTTTGACATCTTATATGGCACACTATTAATTCTTGTCTCTCAAAATTATCATTAAATTAAAGCAGAAAACTAACACACAGAAAGCCTTTTTCTCAAGGGCTTCTCTCAACTGTACGGTCTCTATGACTATAAACATGAATGTGTTGCCTCAACTCAAGATGCAAGTACGGATGCTCACTTTCCACCCACGGAAGATTAAATATGGAAAGAACCAGAGGTTATTTCATCCAACCCTCTCATTCTGAAATGACCAGAGGAGTTACATGGTCTGTCCACTGCTGCTCAGCTCATTTACAGCAGAGCCACGAGAAGCACCAGGCTTCTTGACTCTGAGTTCTTTCTACTACTGGCTTCCAGCTCTAGAAAAGGGTTTCTCCACAGCAGTATCATTGACATTTTGGACTGGGTAATTCTTTGTTGTTGGGGGCTGCCCTGTGCAGTGCAGTTTGTTTAGCAGCATCTCTGGCCTCTACCCACTAGATGCCAGTAACACCTCCCTCCACTCCCACAGTTGTGACAATAAAAAAAATCTCCATGCATTGTAAAATGTCACCTAGAGAGTTGAAAATCATGTTGCACAGTATACAAACACCACCTGAGTGCAAAGCCTCGCTTTAATCCCATCTTTTCCATCAGCTCTCTATGCAATCTAGCTTCTAGTTATCCTACTCTTTTTACTAGAAGGACTCCCTGCTGCAAGCTTTTATTGTTTGCTTGTTTACGTCAATTTTTTTTGACTTTGTGATATTGTGTTATATTGTTTTAAAATACCATATTTAGGCTGGGCACAGTGGCTCACGCCAGTAATCCTAGCACTTTGGGAGGCCGAGGTGGGCTGATCACTTTGAGCTCAGGAGTTCACAACCAGCCTGGGCAACATGGCAAAATCTTGTTTCTACAAAAAATACAAAAATTAGGCCTGGCGTGGTGGCTCATGCCTGTAGTTCCAGTTACTCAGAAGACTGAGGCTGGAGAATTGCTTGAGCTTGGGTAGTGGAGGCTGCAGAGAACCAAGATCACACCTCTGCACCCCAGCCTGGGCGACAGAGCGAGACTCCATCTCAAAAAAAAATTTTTTTGTAAAGCATATTTAATAGTTTCTATGTATATATGTTAGTTCCCTGATTAGACTAAAAGCCTCATAAAGAAAGAAACCATGTCTTAACAGTATCTTTCCATTTACTAGGTAGCTAAAACATGATTCACACATAGGAGGAATTAAAGAATATTCAATAGTTTGATTGATTCAGTATAATCAGATTGCCACTATACAAAAAGTAAAATTTCCAAACATTTAATACTTCTTCCATTAGCATAGAGTGAGTTTTTTTATAATTTTGATGAAACTATTTCTAGCATTTACTTGCAGCTACATCTTAGTAGAAAGATTATTATAGATACAGCCATTTTGATGATTCACACATCATTTGGAATATAATTTTTATGTTGTGCTGTTTATGCTGCCTCCATTCGAAAATAGCTTCACGTGGTGCTGCTTTTAAAATTGTTGTGCATATTTTAGTGTTTCTGTCTCCCTTACATGTATCAGCTGACATCATCAGCTGTCCTCATGACTTCCAGTGGCCATTCTCTGCACCTAGTAACAAGAGGTGCTGGGTGGGAGTGGAGGAACAATAAGATAACAACAGTGACAACAGTCATGACCACAAATCCTAGTGCTCTTTGAGACTTACTGCATGCAAGACATTGGTCTATATGCTTTATAATCAGTGAATCATTATTCTGAACAATTTGAGAGATATTCACTATTTATTGTTTCCATTGTACTACAGAAGAAACTGAGGCACAGAGAGGTTGAGTAACTTGCCTAAGTTATCAGAGGCAGGAAATGGTAAGCTCGAAACCTAAGCAACCTGACTCAAGAACTTACAGTAGTCATTACTACACTGTATTACACTCAGTGTACAATTAGATAACCACCATCCTCAAAAATAAGTCAACAAATTTTACACAAAATTCACAGAAAATGATTTTGAAAAATATTTGATGGTGGTTTTTATGTGTCATAAAGTGTGTGAACTTTGTGGCAGCTATTTCACTGTGACAACTTGAGTTTCCAATTTAAAATTAAGAAGTATTCATCTACTAAGCACTTGCTACGTCCCAGGCACTATTCTAGGAGCTTGTTATAGACTCAAAAGATTATAGAATCTTAACAACAAAAGAGACACCAAGCACCTTCTAGCCCAGTGCTTCCAAGTCTGGCTGTCTGTTAGAATTACCTGGAGAGCGTTACAAAAGTACTGCTGCCTGGTCCTCACTGCAGACAAACTGAATCAAAATCTCTGCAGGTGGGGCTTCCTGGGGAGGCCAGCATGCAGCCATCCATGATGATACCAAAAGCCAGGGTTACAGAAATGGCCTGCCTAAAGCCACAGAGACAGACATTTCTAAAATTTTCCTGATTTTTGAAAATTTTTCTGCTACACCATTAAAATTGTTTCAGTGTTTGGAAATCTTTTCATTCAATAAATACTTAAGAAGAGATTGACAAGACAAAACCAGTTAGGGGAGAAAGTCAGTAAGTAGTCACAGATACCTGGAGTGCTCTTTAATAAACGATTACCTCTGAAAGCTGTAATACATCAAAATCAGTTAAAACATTTTCCTGCAATATAAATGATCAGAGTATAATCTCACTAAATCTGAACTTTTTTATGGACAAGGACAAGTCAAAGGCAGACCAGGGGAAAGAAAAAGCATTAGATTTTGAACCATTTAAGACTGGGTTTCACATTTAGCAAACCATGGGCAAATTTATTCATTGCCCTAAACTCTGTCTCTGCACCTGTACAAAGGGGGTAGATAACACTTCCTCTGCTGATAATTAAATCGAAGCATGTAGGTAAACGCTTCTAGCATAGTTTATTAGGTAACTCACAAATAATAAGTTTCTTCTCTCCTTTCCTTTGACCCTGACTAAAAAGGAAATTAACAACTCAATGAACTACACAGGCCACCTAATATGACCCATGTTTTATAAAAGCAGGCAAGTGCTTAGTAGAGATCATTTTTGCATCTAATCCATAGAAGCATAATCTCCTCTGGCAGTCCTCTTTCTTGCCTACCTGCGAAAACCCTAGAAAGTAGGCATTTTCTTCTGCTCCTCATTGAGAACACACAGCAAAACTTCCTTCTCCTCTCGTGAGTATCTGTGGGTTGCATTCACACTCTGATTCACACCCAAGGCCTAATTCAGACTTATACTATTCCTTCACCACAGGGTAGTGACAACAGGAGTATGGCACCCTCCATAAACACTCATGCTGAAACACCACAAGCACTTAACGTTAAAGCTCAAAAGCAGATGTCCTTGTAAGGTCAAAAACAATTGCATATGAAGCCTTCGATGCCTGTGTTTTCATACAGAAGTTTTCTGAAGGGATGTATTTCCTCAGTGGACCAAACAGATCATTTTTGTGGTCTGTTCATGGGAAAGGGCCATATCTATTTTCCTTAATAAATGTTTCCGCCCCTTGGACATTGGTAAATGCCTTGCAGAACAGTAACACATTGTTGACTAGGAAAATTAACCCCTTCAAATTTAATTTTAACAAATGCAGCAGAAATCACTTACAGGGTTCGGAGTGCAATGCTCAGTACAATTGAGGAACATATGATAAAACCATAGTTGGCCCACCACAGGAGATACAGGCACATGCAGAATTTGAACAATGCCATAACATGGGCCACAATGGGAGAATAGCTAGAGATTCTACCAAATCCCATAAATTGGATAAAATTACGTTGAATTATTTAAAGATCCCTATTTTGGCTGCTTTGCACAGTATCTTCTGCTAAGCCCACAGCAGCACTTCCCAGTGTAAATATACAGCCTATAAAAATGTTTTTTATGTAAAATTGTGTGCCATGCGTTGTTTTGAAAAGAAAATTCCAAGTTGTAAAACACAAATGTCTTACTGAAAAGAACATTTCCTGAAATATGCGTAGCATAACTAAAGTTCCACGGGATACTAGATATTAGGCAGAATAAAAAATGCATGAATAAATGAACAAATAAAGGTGAGGATTCACATGAGAGAATAATTCTGATGAAATACAAAGTTAGGCAAACATATTTTTTTAAACTGCAGGATTTCTCAGAACCTCTACTATACAAATGTGTATTTTAACCCTCTAAGAAGCAGATCTGATAGAGAGTATTTCCCAAAGTTATTTTTTTTCAAGCATTATTCCAGACTCAGATACTATATGGAACACCAGTTTGGGAACACTGACCTGAAATGTTACCATGATAAACTGCCATTCAGTAGTTCTGCCATTCAACAGGACAAAGGAGCATCCATCCTAGCCCATCAGAGGAAAGATGAGTTGGTCCGTTTGGCAAACAGACCAAAAGAATTTTTCAATTAAGATCAGTATTCTCAAGCACTTACAACACCTTGGCAATTCCCTTGAGGAGTGAAACACAGCTCTTGCCATACTAACTGTGGCTGTTTATATAACCCTTAAAGAACAATTAGAACACTTGCATATAGTGTTCTAATTGCATATAGTTCTGTTTTGAATACAGATTACACAGTGTAATTATTTTCTTTTTTTAACATACTAGGGGTGAACAAATAGGACACCAGCTTTGCTTACTACAATGTACTTCTTCAGGATGGTTTTCCCCTTCTTTCCAGTTTGTAACTGCAAAACAACTTGAAATCTGAATCTATATTGGACAAACCTCTGGCCAATTAAGTCAAAATGACCAATCAATGGGGAATAAATTGAGGACACATAAGGCGGAATCTACTGATTAGTGGATTTTAAACAGTTAGTGCCATTGACTATCTCCAGGTTTAGAAGAAGCATTAAAAAAAAAAAAAAAAAAAAAACAAAAAACAAAAAAAACGTGAGCTGAGATCCGACCACTGCACTCCAGCCTGGGCGACAGAGCGAGACTGTCTCAAAAAAAAAAAGGCTTTGTATTTACTGTGTCATGACAGTTAAAAATCATTAGGGTGAAAACATTGTTATAAAAATATCCTTTTTTTTAAAAAAAATTGACCTTCATACTCATAAACAAAAATGAAAATTCTCACCCAAACAAAATAAACCAAAGCCTTCTCCCAATTTAAACCACTTTGTGCAAAAACGCTGCAATCCCTCATCTGTTCCAATGCAGCGTCTACCTGTTGAGTTCCTAATAAACCGTGCCTTTAAAGGTGTGCAAACATGCTGCTGTCATTCTGGGGTAAGATAAACATGTTTGCTCACTTTAGAAAGGCAAACCAAAAAGTCTACGCAAATGCCAATGATTGTCAGGATTTGAGAATCCCTGTCCACTCAGACAAACCCCAAACAGCTTGTCACATACTGCAATGAGCCTCGTCACTCCAATCGTCACAGTCGTTGTAGCCATTACATTGCAGTTTCCTGGGGATGCAGATTCCACTGGCACACAGAAAGCTCTCACCCCCTCCACAGAGCACTAAAAAAAAAAGGGCAGGAAATAATGTCAGAATAAGATTTTTTTTTAAATTTTAAGATTACAAAAGATAAATACATAGAAAATCTTCTTTTGCTGTTCAACAGATTTGTTTCCAAATTCCCTCAGTTTTATTGTCACCAATTTTTCTTCGGCATCCTAGCACATTAACTGGAAAATTACCTGGAAATCATACAAAGAGTGCTTGCTTGTATGAGGAAAGCAGGAAATAGTTCACTGGTGGGCTTGCAGAGTGAGGCATCCATGTTTAGAGAGTAAGAGAGTAGCTTCATCAATTGCACAATTTATGTGGGGAGAATACCCAATGGGTGTATTTTTCTAAATAATTCAAAATTATTTCAAAGTACAGTGCTACTAATTGAACAACATTTAAAAACTCTACCTCTCTTAAAAGCTACTCTATGTGTCACAGAGAAAGTTCCAGTAAAAACAGAGTCAGTAAATGGATGTGTGTTTGAACACAGCAGAGAGACCGGGTGCCCTGTATTTGAAACGTATTTACTTACCTTAATGAAAATGCCAGTTAAAATGTCAGCTTCTATTTTCACATAAGGGATAGGAAATGGCATTCGCTAATAATATTTTCATTTCTTTTTACTTAACACAGTTACATTTTTATATTTGTGCTTTTAAAATTTTGGTGTTCTTTTTCTTTTCAAAATGCAATAAATACTCCACTGTTTCAGAATTACAGTAGACAATAAATTTAAGACAAAAAGATAGAAAATTTTTCAGGAAGACCATTAATAAAAGGATAAATCAGCTCAACCAAGTGGATGTTAAGATAAAAAATATTTGGTAATGTGCATCAAATGCCTTTTAAGTGTGCATAATCTTTAACTCAGCAATCACCTTATTTCTCAGACTTCATAAAAAGGAAATCATTATGAATACGTGTTTTATGTTTAATGATGTTCAAACCATCATTGTTTAAAATGAGGATACTATGAAATAACCACTATGCAATATTAAGGGGCTAGTTAAATAAATTTTGATACCACCGTATCAAATAACGAGAAATACTATTACAGCCATTGAAAACTACATTTTAGAAAATACTTAATGTCCTAGGACAAAGTTCAAGCTACTTGAGATGAGAAAACACCAACTGGTCCTAGAAAACAAAATACAGTTTGGCATGGGGAGAGGTATATTATCTTTGGTATTAGGATTAAAATAACTTACTTTTTACTGTATTGTATTCTGTATTTTACAAATGTTCTTACAATGATGATGTTTTATCTTTTTAGCTGAGAAAAAAGTAACTTTTTTTATGAGCTCCAGTTTCAGATAAGAAAAGTTTTTTTTCCTTCTTTTTTTTATTTTTTTATTTTTTTAATTTTTTTAATTTTTTTATTATTATACTTTGAGTTCTAGGGTACATGTGCATAATGTGCAGGTTTGTTACATATGTATACTTGTGCCCTGTTGGTGTGCTGCAGCCATCAAGAAAAGTTAAGTAGAACCTTCAAAAATCTCCTTCTGTCTCTCTCTCCCCTTCCACCAAAGCTTTTGTGCATGTGTGTGTGTGTGTGTGTGTGTGTGTGTGTGTGTGTGTATGTCGGCTGTGTGGTGAGTTGCCTGGTCACTGCCACCATTCCCTGCAGTATGTATTCCTTGATAAGATGAACCTTGTTGACTAGTTACAGGGAATCCAGGAATATGGAACATTTTAACTCAGCAATAGAAACAGAGAAAAGTACAGGTTGAAAGCTCCAGTCAGTAAAGCCCATGTCTGTCATAGTTCCCATCATGTTCCTAGGACCCAGCGGAATGGTTGGCACTCAGGAGGTTCTCGATTAATATATTTCCAACCCATGTTCCTGGGACCCAGCCAGTGGCTGGCACTCAGGAGGTTCTCGATTCAATGGAAAAAGTTACCTAAATCCCTAATAGAAGAATATATTGCCATAAAGCAGAAAAAAACAAAATTAATGAATTATTTCCCAATACTATCAAGGAAATCAGCATTTCAACTCATTGAACATTATGCATTAGTTGATCTGGTAAGTTTCTTATGATGCTACTTCACGTAACATTTTCACAATATCAACAACAAAAGCCCAATTTTCCATTGTAGTCCATAATTTCAGTATCAATACAAATTACATCTATGGATTTCAACTGCCAAAATATTCAACATGTTTAGTATGGTGTCCGCACAGGAGTGCACTCCTATAGCTACAAATTACAGACTCCTAAACGATTCATAGAAAACCAGACCTAAAATGAAAAACCAAAATACTAAGATTTTACCCATCCAGTCTGTACAATATCCTCTCTCTAGGGTTAAGAGAAAGTTTGAAAGAAGTGTTTATCCTATTGTGAGATTGTTTCTGTATTATACTAGAGAGTGCAAAAATTCCATATGTCTGCATTTTAGCAGCTGCAACGCCTCACAAGAATTATTATTGCATTCCCCACCTATGGCTCTAATGATTCCTCAGGAAATGGAGCTGAAAGCTCAACATTCAATAGCTCCTAACCTCTAGATTTTAAGGCCCTACATATTTGACTCCAGTAAAGCCATTTCTTGCATAAGGTCATCTCAAATCTGGATCAAATTTAAAACCCAACACAGCTTGCACTGTTTTGATTATTGATATCCCCTGTCTTGGCTGATTCAGCAGAAACTGACTTCTTTTGTGTGGTTCCTTATCCGGAAGTGTGGCTGTCTTTGGTTTTAGGTTATCATAAATTGTTACTTTATTCTTGTTCTTTCTTTGAAAGTTCACAGTTTTGGTAGTTAATATTACTTTTATAAAACTAGAATAATTTTTGTATAATCTTTCTGTTTCATTTCTTCTTAACCTGTGTTCAGAATTTCCACTTCTATAAAATGTTCAATGAATAAAGTACTACAAACATATTTTGTTTGGTAGTTTACAAATGAAGGAAATGAAGTGTCATGAGGTCGACATTGAAATGGACCAAAGCCATATAATTAGGGGAAGATGAAAAACATCCCAAATCCCAAGCTAGGATCCAGGCCCAATCCTCCATGCCACACCCACTTCCTTGTTCCTGGTGCTTGTGCAATAGTGTAGTTGGCTGATACTCGGCCAGTTTAAGGACACTAGATTTGAGTAAAACTTCAACATTGTCTTTATTTTTCTCTCTAAACAAAAAACAAATGTCTGTCTTGCAATGAATTGGATCCAGATGAGATGACATTCCAAGTCAGTTCTACCTTTTTTGAACACCCTGAGAGAGCTTTTATCAGGTTTCTGTAGAGATTTTTCTACCATAAATATCACTGTCTTATAACAATCATTTTCCAACAGGCTTTTGAGTGGCCCCTTAGGATGACAAAGGGAGATTTCCTGAGAAGTCATGCTATACAATCTTGAAACTATTTCCACTAACATCATCTATAATTCTAAGAAGTGTATGTTGGAATTTAAATCAATGGCAGATTGATAACTGGAACATTCATTCATTGATTGAATATATATTTACTGAGTGTCTACTATGTGCAAAGTACTATTCTAGCCTCTGGTAATACAGCAGTGAAGAAAACAAACAAACAAAATCCCCAAATAGAGCATATATTCTACTGATCATCATCTGATGAAGACAATTTTACCAAGTAAAGATACTTCACTGCGAAAGTTGACTTCCACTACACATGTGACAGTTAATTAATACTGCTGCAAAAATAGCAGTACATAAAGTTATATGGCCTAAAAAGCTAGTTTACATGTCCAGATGATAGGGACAATTATGGATCCCGTGGACTTCAGAATGACACAGATCTTGAAGAATACATACCCAAAGGATGATCAGCTCTTTTCAGTATTCTTGTCTCTGACAACGGACTGCTAAAATAATAATCCCTAGCCTGAAATCACCCTGAGATTTTCTGCAACTGCTTCCAGCTTCCTAGGCTCTCTCTGTCTGTGTATCAATATTATTGGCAAATGCTGTCATTATTCTGGTTGTTAACTTTTAGAGTCCTTTTCAAAAATTACCCACCAATCTGCCACTGACTGTATGTTGCTCTTACTTGCCCTGTCTTTGAGCCCTTGCTGAAAGTCAAAAGCTCAGCTTCAACTCCCCCTCGGAGGAGAAAGCTGACCCAGCTCTGCACATCACGTGGGCCTGTGCTGAGAGCCTGTCAGCGCTGCATTCTCCATGCTGCTCGAAATCAAGTACTATAAACCACTATTGCCCTTACCTTTTACAAGGTTATGTCATTCGATGAAAAAGACTGAATGTAATCTTTCAGCTGCTGATACAAGAATACTTCTTGGGGAGAACACTGTATCTTTGGGCACAACAGATTGGTAAAACGATTGGGGTAAAAGACAAGAGGTGAGAGAGGAGAGAGAAAATCTAAGAGTGTGTTCAACCAACCCAACATGGACTTTACCCTGCCTTCTGAGGAGGTGAGTCATATTACGTGGAAGGCCCTTCATTTGGCTGAAATTAAGATATTTCGGTAGGTATGGATGAGGGTCTGGAAGCTCTGAGTACAAAAGGAGTGAAGGGCTGGGTGCAGTGCCACATATCTGTAATCCCAGCACTTTGGGAGGCTGAGGCGGGCAGATTGCCTGAGGTCAGGGGTTCGAGACCAGCCTGGCCAACATGGTGAAACCCCATCTCTAATAAAAATACAAAAATTAGCTGGGCATAGAGACATGTACCTGTTATCTCAGCTACTCAGGAGGTGAGGCAGGAGAATCAATCACTTGAACTTCGGAGACGGAGGTTGCAGTGAGCCGAGATCATGCCACTGCGCTCTAGCCCAGATGACAGAGGGAGACTCTGTCTCAAAATAAATAAATAAATAAATAAAAATAAAACATAAGAACAGTGAGAATTCCCATGAGGAGGAAGAGGAGCTGGTGCCACTGGGCACTGTGCTGAGAAAGAGATAAATTTGAAAAGGTGGCTGAGTATCCATTAGAAGCACAGTATAGAGAAGACCCTTTGGAAAACAGAAATATCTAATGACATATTTTAAGTTATTTCCTGAGGAA